AATCCTAGGTTTTGGCCTACCACTAGCATTTCAGCTTCTTGCCAACTTCAGTGATAGTTCAACTCTAAAATAGCAAAATGATAGAAAACGACCAAAATACAAATCTTGAGTTGTTCAGATATTCTCTAGAAAAAATGCTGAAAACAACCTGAAGCAAAAATGAATATGTTTCTCCATAAATTGTATTTTTCCGATTCACATACTAATCACTCAATATTCCTCCAATGGCCCTCTCACACTACACCATCACCCCAAATTCCACTAAAGGGGCACAAAATTGTACATCTATTACTATACAATAAAACCCTGTTTCTTCTAAAAATTAGAACAAAGCATTTAAAGACCGTACATAAACATAGGCTTTGGCCATAGTGTAGTGTCAGTAGTGTCTGTGTGTCAGCCTCTCATGACCTATTCTTAATCTAGTGAGGATGATTTAGATCCTCCAATAGCCACATATCAATCTTGTTCTTGATATGTAGGCGCTTCTTGCTCATCCAGCCCAATAAAGCTTCCAGTTTCTTTTGATATATTTTCATTTTTAGTGTCTAAGTGCCGAATAGTGGTGGTTAGGTCCAGAGGTTGGGACTTCCAATTTTAGCCCCGTGTCCTACTTTCCACTACTCAACAAGACCTGTGTCCTGGAACCCATATAACCGCCATTTTTCCAAGACGTAGTTCAGAGTATCTCTCCCCGATATGATCATGACGAGATGACTCAGTCAGCATTAACCTTATTGAGGGAGTCCCCATCATATTGAATCACCTCAAATAAATGCCAAATCACGTAAATCCCCTAAGTAAATGTAAGTGTGGCAGGACGACCACATACACGGCTTATGCCACAGTCTTAGTCTGTGAAAACAAGGCAATAATAGGTGAACCTCGATTTGTTATTTGTAAGTGCTTAAGTTCCAAGAACAAAGGAAATAAGTTTAGTTGAAAATACAACTTATATAAACTTAATCATGAAATACTTAAGTTTTTAGTGGTGGAACCTAGTGAAACTGAATAGTGTTTGTAGTTAGGTTGTTTCACATCAGCAGTGTGTTGTTAAGTAAGATAAAGCCAAAATTGCTTATTTGAAACTTTTAAAGACATTTTATGGACAATTGTCCTTCATTGTCCTTTGTGTTTTAGCCAGATTGATTTCTGCATTTTACCCCTTTGTATGTTCTGCAAACATTCTGCCTTAAGTTCCATTATGAAAGTGTAAAATTGAAAACATGGGCTTGTGCTTGGACTAATCTTTCTAGGGGCTTGGACAGGTTTGAGAGGATGGAAATGGGACGGTAGTCTGTAGGGGAGGATGGGTTGGGGGTTTTATTTACAGGGTGGACAAGGGCTTTTTGCCAGGCTGTCGGAAAAATGGAGTTTTGGAGTGAGTAGTTATAGATGTGAAGTAGAACAGGTAGTAATATAGGGAGGCAGAGTTTAAGAAAATGGATAGGGATTCCATCAACTCCAATGGCCTTGGAGTGGGATTTGGTTATGGCCTCAAGGACTTCGGCTGGGGTTAGATAGGAGAAATAGAAGTTAGACGGACTGAATGAGGGTCCAGAGGGAGCGGTTATGGGGACAGGCCTTGATGAAGAAGAGTTGGGCGAGACAAAGTGGGAGTTTAATTCTTCAGGGGATACAGGATAGGAAGATGGTGAGTTGGGTGGACGACATAAGCCAATGTNCTCCTCACATCACACCCGTAAAACCCGCTCATCCCCAATCGACCTTATCCTTCCGCAACATACAACCCATACCTTCGAAAGATCCTTTCTGATCCGAGCCCCTAAACTCTGGAACTCCCTTCCCCTATCTATTCGTCACGCTGCCTCCTTCTCCTCATTTAAATCCCATCTTTATAATCACCTCCTCTCCCTCCAAGCAGAGACCTCACGATAACATTTATTATTTTTGTCTTTGTTTAATATACCTCGTAATTTTCTCTTCTGGCCCGCCTTACTGGCATACATTGTGCCACGATTTCTATCTATCTTTTTTTTCCTTTTTTTTTTTAAATTATGTGACTTCATAGAAGGTTATTATATTTTGTCTCATGTAAATTATTCTAAGGGGACACCAGTCCCAGAATAAAGTTATTTTTCTTCTTCTTCTTCTTCTTCTTCTTAAAATTGCTATATGTTGCCAAGGAATGATACCCCTTAAAAAGGATGATTCAGATCCTACAATAAACACCTATCAATCTTGTTCTTGATACATAGACACTTCTCTCCCGAAACAGCCCACCGACGCTTCCATCTCCTTTTGATAACATTTTTTATTGCAGATAGTGATGGTTAGAAGTTGGGACGTCCCGGTTTTAGCCCCTGGTCCCACTGTCTGTTATCCTTGAGACAAGAACAAATGTTTTTCCAAGACGTTCCAATTCAGAGTATCTATACAACCAGGACAGCAGTCACCTCAATGAAGGAGTCGGTGTATTTAAGGTAGTCAGAGTCCCCAACACCTCTAACCACTCCAATACATGCCAAATCGCATACAATTCCACCCTGTAAATGCTACAATGCGGCAAGAATGACCACATACCCCATGCCACCTCACAGTCTTAGTTCGTGAAGACGAGGTGAACCTTGATCTGTTCTCGTTACCTAAGTACCAACTTCCAAAAACAAAGGACATGAGTATAGTTGAAATGACAACTTACGTATCAATTTAGTAATAAAATACTGCAGTTTTTAGTGTCAGAAGGTGTTGTTCGGTGAGAGTTGAGTCGTGGGGGATCGGTCCTATTGACTTTGTTTTGGCCAGCGACTGACAAACGAGGATTCGAGCTTATCTCTATCGCCGGCTAGGACAACTTTGTTTTTTTTTTAGTTAGTCGTCATCGCCCATTGCTTCTGACACGCTGTTTAAGCCTCCAGTGCCCAGCCGCCTCTGCTGATCAAGCCAAACGATCTAATTTCACTTTTTTGTCAAGTAAGGCCTTACAAAAATTCTGTTTACTTTGCTAAGGGCTTTCCTTTTGTATTGTAAATTACCTAACAAGGACGTTTTATTTAATTATTTTTTATTTTCGTTTTGTAAAACTGAGAACATTAATTTTTGTCTAAGGTATCATTGTGAGTCAAAAGTGTTATTTCTTTGTTTTTATTGTAAATAGAAATGCGAAGTTTTCTGTTTTGTTATTAATTTTGTTTCTTATTTTCCTTCTTTTTTTTCTTTTTTTGTTTAACTAACCATGGGTGAAAACTTTGGGTTTGACAATCCGTCACCCCTGCTCTCCCATTAAACAGTGATGAAACTGGAATTTATTTGAAGTTTGATCATTTCCGATCAAGTTGGTCTGAATTTCCTTGCAGCTTTGATTTGTCTGTATTTTGGTCTTTCGCTAACATCAGCAGAGTATTGTTAAATAAAATAAACACAAAATTGATTATTTGAAGTTTTTAAAGACATTTTATGAATAAACATTTTTGATTGCCCTTTGCTTGCTTTAGCTAGGTTGATTTCTACAGTTTGTACTTTAGTATCTTTTGCAAATGTTCAAACAAGATTTATAAGTTTGTGGTTCCAGTCATTTTGGTCTACATACCCTTGCTGCCTTAAGTTCCATTATGAAAATTAGACTTGCTATATGTTGTCAAGGAATGGCACCCCTTGATAAAGACGATTGAGATCCTACAATAGCTACCTATAAATCTTGTTCTTGATGCATAGGCACTTCTCTCCCGATACAGCTCACTGACGCTTCTATTTCCTTTTTATCAATTTTTGTAATACTTTTTTTTGTGTCGGATGGTGGAGGTTAGGTCCAGAAGTTGGGACTTCCCCATTTTAGCCCCTTGTCCCACTTTTTGTTACGCTCCAGACCAGAACAAACGTTTTTCCAAGACGTTCCAGTTCAGAGTATCTGTACAACCAGGACAACAGTCACGCCAACGAAGGAGTCTGTGACCACATACCACCTCACAGTCTTAGACTGAAACATGGTAAACCTTGATTTGTTCTTGTTACCTAAGTACCAAGTTCCAAGAACAAAGAAATGATTATAGTTGAAATGACAACTTATAATAAATAAACTTAATCATGATTTATAAAATACTAAAGTTTTTAATGTAAGAAGTTGATGAAACTGGATAATGTTTGTACTTTTGGCGTTTCTGATCATGTTGGTCTGAGTATCCTTTATGTTTTGGCCTGTGTACATTTTGGTCTTTCGCTAACATTGTTGTTAAATTAAATAAATATAAAATTTCTAATTTGAAGCTTTTAAAGATGTTTTATAGATAAACATCCTTGATTGTCTTAGTGTTGCCAAGGAACAGCACAACAATTCAGATCCTCCAATAGCCACCTATGAATCTTGTTCTTGATATGTAGGCACTTCTCTCCCGATCCAGCTGACCGACACTTTCAGCTTCCATCTTTTTTTTATCAAATTTTTGTCAGATAGTGGTGGTTAGAAGTTGGGACGTCCCGGTTTTAGCCCTTTGTCCCACTTTCCGTTACGCTCCAGACCAGAACAAAAGTTTTTCCAAGTCGCTCCAGTTCAGAGTAACTATGAAACCAGGACAGCAGTCACCTCATCGAAGGAGTCGGTGCATTTAAGGAGACAGAGTCCCCATCATCTTGAACAACTCCAATACATGCTAAATCGTATACAATTCTGTCCCGTAAATGCTATAGTGCGGTAGGAATGACCATATACCACATGTCACTTCACAGTCTTAGCCTGTGAAGACGAGTTGAAACTTGATCTGTTGTCGTTACCTAAGTACCAAGTTCCAAGAACGAAGGAAATGTGTATAGTTGAAATGACAACTTATCAATTTATTAATACAATACTGAAGTTTTTTGTGTCAGAGGGTGATGAAACTGGATATTATTTGTAGTTTGGTCGTTTCTGATTGGATGAAGTGTACTATTGAAAAAATAAGCTAGGCAAACCAGGTCAGTAACGACCAAACTGAAGGTAGATCACCTTAAAAGAAATCTCACAAATTTCATTGAAAAAATATATAGAGAGGGTGGATAAGGCTTACCTTCAGCCAAAACTTCCTCTACGGTAACATTCGTCCTCCCGACTAGAAAGACTTTGCCGACGAAGCTGTTCGTCTCTTTTGAAGTGTTGTCGATCTTGGTCTCGATTTTCGAGAAAAGCTTCTTCATTTTTCGAAATTAAAAGTTCCGGAGGTGGAAAATATGAAAAATACCAGGGCTTCGTGCTGCAACTCAAAGGGCCGGGGCGGGCATTCTCGTGAAACCCTTTCGTTTCAAAGAAGAAAAGAAAATTTAAAACGGACAGAATAAAGAAAAAAAGGGGGGTGGAAACGAAAAAATAAAAAGTAAAGAGTGCCCTGTCCTACATAACAGGGCGCCCGTGCCTGTTCCGATCTGTGCAAAACCCCCTGGCGAGACACGAAGACGAGTTTCTGGCGGACCGACCGACGGAACGGATCCCCCTCTACGTACCAAGTCACAGGCCCGTATCGCCTTTAACAACGCCCGTATCACAAACTTCCATTTCCAAGTACTCGACTGGGAACCTTTATAAAACTCCGATTTATGACGTCATAGCAGCTGATCAGATGAACACCTGACGATAAATCAACTGATACACTTTCACTTCGATCCCACCTCCTTAGACATCCGGCTTTTTTCAAAATCCTACCTGTTTTTCATAATTAACGTCTCAATCAATAAAACCTTCATTTTTACACATTATAATTAGAGTTTAATTAACTGTACTTATCGGTTTCAAAAGATCATTAAGCCAAAATGAGATTCGGTCATGAACTCTAGCGGCGAACTTTGACTCTACGTACCAAGCACCAAATTCGATTCCTTTTTTTTAAAAAGGATTGAACACCGCACTCACTCCATCATTCAACATTTCTATAAATTCGATTTCGCCTATTTTTTTACCTTGTCTTAAGCTTAAGACAATTTAGAATAGTATATCGCTGGCTGTATGTCGTACAGACAAAGCTAGTGAAAAAAATAATAAAACAATGTTTTCTAAAAGAAGAAAAGATATATTGTGTATCTACAAATAATATACAGGGTAACTGGCGATAAGTGTCAAAAATTTCAGGTGTTTCTACTCACCATTTGCAACAAACAATTCCTATAAACCCTTGTCTAAATCTCAATGGAAAAGAAGTAATTTCAGGTTTTTTTTTTTTTTTTTTTTTACCACTGACTGTAGAAAAATCTGGTTTTTGACAACTGAAAGAATGTAAAATTTGCTGTATTTACATTGCAGAATTGATGAAAAAATTCTGCACAAAAAATTCAGAAAAAATAAATATGTTGAAATCTGGAATTTTTCGAAAATGTTGAATTGGTAACTGTTAATAACTACAAACTCCTGGAGCTTGGCAAAATGCCTCAAAAGTTCTCCATTCAGTTAGCTTCCAGTGGTATACCCACTTTTTGTATTGCCCTTCTGGAAGGCCCAAAAATTTTGCATTTTGTTAAAAAAACTGGTGTCGATGAAGGGGGGTACGGTTAATTTTTTCAAGAAATCTGTGTTGCTCTTGAGTTTCGTGTCAGTTCTTTATTGTTCAATTCAATCAGTTTGCTTTATGTCATAAGTTGACTACTTCCACAGGTTGGTGATTTAAATTATGTCCTTGTTTCCTAAAGAACATCTTGCTGATATGCATCTCATTTACAGTAATGCTACTGCTGCAAGGGGAGAATACCAAGCTCGTTTTCCCCATTGAGATGTTACAGAAGATTGCATCTTTCAATGACTTCATCACTGAGGGAAACTGGTTCTTTCACTCGAAGAACAAGGGAAGACAAACAGCAAATTGATGTAGATGAAGAAAAATCAACTCATTGCTGGTGGTCATTTCATTCCAAATCCTCATAAAATGGTAAGGGTACAACCCTTCTCGATGGAGGGTATCCTAACCCCCTCCATTGTGAAACACCAATGTCTATACTTCACGCACGTGGTTTCAGGATCACGATGCAAAATTTCCTCATTTTTGCTTTTATATTGTATATTTCTATAGTTAAACATTTTTTGTAAATTGGATTAATTCCATAAAATATTATTATTACTGATTTACATCATGATGTGTAATATCGAACCTACATACATACAGGTAGGTTCGATTCTGCATACTAGTTTATGCTGGTATGTACATATGTGTTCCAAATTGAGCTTATGTAAATCAGTAAACGGTAATAATAATAATAAGGATATTAACTAAACATACAGGGGAAACTTAAGTAAAAGGTGAAACACATATACTGGAATTAAATTATAACATTTTACTACTTATTTAATTATTTTGAAGATACAAACAGGGCTTCTTTTTTTTAGTACTGCAGCTGAAACAGTTAACACAAATGTGAACTTGAGCCCCCGTTGTACCGGTGTTCTTCCGTTGAAGAAACTCATTTTTGAAGGGGGTTGGGAACAAATTCAGGGTCGCTGAGATCCGATCTCGCCCCTTCCATTGATGAGTGTCGTGTCAATTTCTTTCAATTGCAGCCACCGGTCCCCTTAGGCGTCAGAAAAAGTCCAGAGGCGACGGTGGGGATCGAACCCACGACCATGGGATCTACTAGCCGAGAGTCTGACGCCTTAACCACTCGGCTACCGCGGCCCCCTTAGACCCCCTTACATGTACATTAGAAATAAGTTTAGTTTTGTAAACATAGTAAAATAATAATAACTGCAATAATAATAAAATATAAAAAATAATAATGACAATATTATATTCTTTAAAATACTAATTATTTATAATTGAATGATGAAACCACATTACAAGAGAAAGCAGAAAGAGAAAAAAGGAAGGGAAGATCCCACAGGCCTGAAACAAGCTAGCAAGGATGCAGAATGAACTTCCCGAGGAAGCAAATTCCATGGTCTTAGCCATGCAATGCCGAAGTGTAATGCTAGAGGTTTATGGTGCTTTTGGATAAGGATTGAGGGGAAAAATTGATAGATATTGAGAACATTTATCTGATTTAATTTTAAATATATATAGTACAATATAATATAATATAATACTTTTATTGTTTTCACAAGTTTGTTGTACAAACGTCACAAAATAATTAGTATTGATTTTTTCTTATTGGGGAGCATGCTATATGTCCTAATTGCACTGTTTTCTGAGCTATTTACAGGTTTTTTCATAGAACATAAAAGGATGACTAACTTTTGTTTCAAAGCTCAATAATATGGCTTTCCTTAATAAACTTTAGATTGGAGTAAATGTACAGAGCAGGTACAGTCATCACTTTCAGCTCCTTAGTTTACTATCATCCTTCATATAGGTGATAGGTATGCTAGGTCTAGATTTGAAATCTTTGAAGGAGCAGACATCATCTAATCACAAGCCGAGATAAAATGTTCCAAAATCTTGGGGTTTGGGAACAAGTCCAAGAGATTTATGCAGGACACGTGAGCCGACCAAGTCCCGGACCTTTTATGGATGGGGTATGAGTCTACCCAGGCATTTAACCCCTCGGGTCTTGGTCGCCCATCCTGCATAATATATATCATCTTTCATTTTTTGTTTTTTACATATTTTTTCTCATAAGTTTCACCTCCCTAAAATCTTAGACATAATGTACAATTCCTTGATGTAATATGGCAAGTATACAGTTTGTAGTATACAGATATCAGCTATTATATGCTTAGTATAAAACAGATCAGGGGAAGTATATAATTGTTTAGAATGTTAAGGTCACTGAAGACATTAATAAAAAAAATATGATCTCTTGGTTTAAGATCATAATCTGATGCAGTAATAATAATAAGCAATTCGAAGACGATGAGAAGACTGAGAGTCTAAGGAAAGTGAAAAAATTGCTACAGTAAGAGAATAAAGGAATTATTAGGGATTTAATAAGGAGTAGTCTAGTTTTCTATGAAGTGAAAAAGCAACGGTATCAAAGAGAATGGAGGCTTGAGTAGATTTTTTTAACAATAGAGCTCACATGGTCATGTCATGTAAGCTTGGAGTAACTATCCAAGAAGAGAGTTTCAAACTAAAATTAGAGAAATGCTTAATTGCAAAAATAAAGTTGTGAAATATTTAAGACATGTATTGATCTAATATAAATTTAACATAACAACAATATACATTTTTTTTAAATAATGCTCAGATTTAACAAAGGTAATGTAAGTTAATATCAGTAAAATTGATTTTTCAGTCCATTAATTTTTTTTATTCTGGTATAATTTAGTATTTTTTTAAGAGGAAATTTGAGCCATTTGGTAAAGAAATTTCCTCTGGAAAAGGAAAACTGAAAGTGTAATAAATTGAGATCAAATTTCTGTGATAGTAGTGCATAGTATAGCACACCAGAGGATGTATTTTCATGAACAAAATTGAATGTTATTAATTTTTTTTCGAAAAAAAGAATTATTTCTAAATTTTAAATAATTACAAATAAAAGCTCTTTTTAGATACTTTTGACAGATTTTTTTAATTGGAAAAGTTAAGCTTTGAAGTTAAGTGGCAGTGAACTGTCTTAAGACATGTTAACCTCCCGGTTATAACATCCAAGTGAGAAGTGAGAAGTACTGCGATTCATTTATCAGTCGAGTAAAATACTGTGATTTTAAATATTTTATATATTTTAACTTCAGTTTTTGTTGTCCGATCAGTGACAGGAAAAGGGAGAAGGTATTCGTTCAGGAAAAGTGACGGTAGGCGTAGTCTGCACAATGTTTATGCGATTTTCAAAATGAAGAGGAGCAAAAAAAAATCCAGCATCTCTGAGCATCTTGATTCCGTCTGTAACATAACAGAGCCGAGGAGTGCAGAAATGAGCGCGGAAATGATGTGCCAGCTTTACGAAGGGCAGCTTTCGAAGTATACCAACGTCATGAAGGGCTGGCAGTTCCGTTGGTTCATACTGGACCCGAAGACAGGCATTCTCAGTTATTATTTAAATGAGAACGAGAGGAAACAGCAGCCGAGGGGCTGGGTGCATTTGGAAGCGGCAGTCATCTGTCCGAGCGATGAGGATTCTAATACGTTTTCAGTTAACTCTAGCTCAGGCGAGAGCTTCAAGCTCAGAGCCCAGGATGCAAAAGCTCGACAGGAATGGGTCAACAGGTTGAGAGCGGTATCACAACTTCACGCTGCGTCTTCGTCCCAAGGCAATCCTATTTTATCCCGAGACCATTTGATCCATCCGAAACCCGGCGTATCGTCTGCAATACAGTCTTCAGGTTCGCTCGCCCTTTGGGACGCTTTCTCGGCCGTCAGGGAGCATTTGTTTCGAGCGGAACAGAACAATTTTCTAATGTCACGGAGTATAGAGGATCTGCCCACTTCGGGCGAACTGAAGCACATCGATCCGGATCTTCTTATGCTGAAAGCTTCGTCGCAAGCCATGCTCAACTCCTTGAACCAATGCCTTTTTATCCTTCACCAACAGACTCAGGACGTAATGACTACGACTAAATCTAAAGGATCCACTAAGCACGAGTCGTCTTCACATTCCAAAAAGAAGTTCATGATTCCTCCTATATGATTACTTTTTAACAATCGCCTAAAATCTCTTTATGTCCAATTGAAATTATGTAATAAATCAAGTTATAAGTAAAAATATAAATTCTTGTTTATTTTTAATAACAATAAAAAAATATATACATATAAATTTACTAGTCACTAACCAGAATGATTTTTCCAATTTTGTACATGTTTATTTCATAAGGATAATTTTTATTAAATTAATCCATATTTGTTTAGTCATAATTGACCATATTAATTATTCCAATTAATTATTCTTTTTATCTAATGCTTTTGGTTGAGATGAAAAATTAATGTTGAGCAGTATTCGAACTCACGACCTTCGGCTCAATACGCCGACTTCAAAGTCACGATACCTCAAGTGGTTAGAACAGCAGCTTATCGAGCCGAAGGTCGTGGGTTCGAATACTCCTCTTGACAAAATTTTTCACCTAAACCAAAAACATTAGATAAAAAGAATAATTAATTGGAATAATTTTTATTTTATTTTAAATGGTTTCAAAAGCTAAACAGGGCACCGTTTAAAATAAACAAAATACTCCTCGCTTTGTATACGTTGTGTACGCTTTGTATACACTTTGTTATTGTTGAACACAAGTCTCAAATTGTGTCAACTAAATAAATTGTTAAATAAATTTGAAATAAAAGTAGTTTATAATTTTATTGTTTACCTAAACGTCTCAAATGTTTTGATCATATTTGACTCAAAATTGCATTCATACCTCGGCCATTCCCACCTTTCAGCTTCTATTTAACTTATAGCTATTCAATGTGGGAAATAAGGCTGTAAAATACTCCAGGCAATAATTTTTTTTTTTAAATCTTTATTACTTGAATAATGCCTGGAAGAATTTCCAGTATTCACTGGATATTTGTTAAAATTAGGGATGGTTAGGGCCTGCATGGGCTTTATTTAAAAACATCGCAACCTGATGGTTCATTTCATGACCTTGTAGTTGAAATACCATTGTAAAAAAAATTACCAATTCAGTTCTCACAATCACTGGCATTTCAAGTTTTTACAATTTCATTCAATGTTATAGCAAAAGGTTAGCCGTTAAGATTCTTTGAAAATAAGTACAGCGTCCCCAGCTTGGATGGGAGAGTTAATCATAAAATGTCTTTACGTGGCTAGCCTGAGACCAGAGCGATCGTCCTCCTTTATTTTCAATTTCAACATCGAATTCTTCCAGAGAGCGGATTCACGGTTCGTTTCATTTGGTATGGTGGAGAACTCCCTTTTGAGGAACCTTAATAACTATTTCATTAGCAACTGTTTTTTTACCAGAAGAAATTTTATTTGTCAAACTTCCTTCATAGAAATTTATTTTTGTTTCGCATCTGTAAGGTCATTAGATTCTAGGTAAAGGATGGGTTTTGCCATTTTACAGTATTTTGATAAAGCAAAATTAGGATAAAAATAAAAAGTATAATCCAATTTAAGTTTAATGAGCTCAATTTGTTTCACAATTACACATGAGGACATTTTGATCACAATGCAACGTTAACCACAAAATTCATTGTGCTAAACACTTGTGTTTTTAGTTTTAAATATTTTAACAGTTAAAAAAATCACATTTATTTAATTTCCCCCAACTCCTAATATCATTTGTGTGCCGACATCAAAATTATCATTTCAAATGAAGAAAGTGCCATTTGCCAACTGCAACATTAAAATAATAATTAGTCAGGTAAAATGAGGTTTATTTTGAAGATAAGATGTACCTATATCGTCGAGTGGGGGACCTTCTGAGTAATTTGGGTTGGAATTGACAATTTGCTCAGCCTCGTTTCTACCTAGTGATGTTTTCGTATCTCCGAGAGTTGTATTTGTTCTGAAAAAGTCACAATTTTTTTTTTTTTTTAATTAAAAACCCAATATGAATATTACAAAGGGAGAAGAAAAATCCTACAAGTTAATTTTGTCTTCGTCTTTTGCCATCAAACATTTCCACTCTTTATGCGTCTCGTTAATAATTTTATGGGCGAACGCTTTGTCCTTAAATTCGCCTCCGAACGCAAATTGGTTTTCGGGTTTGCCATCGGGGATTTTGTAAGTCCTGAGCCACTCGATACTGGCCTTCAACAATCCAGGGCAGTATTTCTCCACATCAGAAATATCCTTCAAAGAATCGGCTAATGGATCTTTTGTACTTATTCCAAAGATCTTCCAGTCTGTCTCTCCTGCAGAATTTAATTTACAGTTAGAATTTTAATTAATTTTTTTTAAAATTATTAATCTACAGTAAGACAGGTCAACTGTAAAAACCCACCCATGACCAACATTGGTATTTTATGCTGGAGGGTAAAAAACTCATTGTGATTTTTTTTAAATTATCAGTTTATGGAACCATGGTTCTAAGTTAAAAAGGTGGTCTTGGAAGGATCAAAATACTAGAAAAGGTTTGAAGTTTTCTGTATTGTTGTTGAGGAAAGTCTGCCATATACATGCTTAAAAGTAATGGACCTAGGACGAACCCTTGAGGAATACAGTATGGATAAAATTTTAAATTTTCTGTAAAATTACATGTACCTTCGTCGATAAGTGCAAGACATCCTAAGACTTTCACTTGCATGATTTCACCTCTTCTAGCAATCTGAAAAAAATCCACAAATATAACTTTTTATTTCTATTCTTGGGCATGGTGATTAATTAAATTTACCCTTTGGCCAATTTCCATAATGTCGACTGGATCGTTATCACCTTTAAATCCTGTATGCTCGTCATTAACATTAGGATTTTCCCATGTCTACAAAATTCCAAATTTTCCAATAAATTATAGAAATAGCTAAATAAAATAAACTTTTTTTACTTGCGGAATGGCGCCATAATTCCAAATGTATCCATGGTGAGGGAAACAGTTTGCGACAAACCTCAGTTTCCCATTTTTTACATCTTGTTTAATTGGGTTCAATGGGTCATTTTTAGTTATCTACAAAATTTAAGAAAAGGACAATGTTAATTATTACATTTTAACATTATATTTCTTATGTTAGCCAAATTATTTCAATTCATAAACATTCTTTTTCTCAAATTTAAATTCAAACGTTTATTGGTCTAGTCGTACTATCTTCACTGGTTGGTACGTGTGTTATTCCATCAGCCATCTTCCTTTTATAAATTTGTTCAATCGTATAAAAGGAACCAACTGAGAAAATAATGCAAAGAAAACCTGTTTTATCAGAGATGATCGAACTACAGACCCACTGATACACAAACCTTAACACAATGTTTCACAAATAATATAATTATTTTACTTTCTGTGTATTTAGTATCTGCGAATAGCTCGTTTATTAGTTCAATATGTAAAATTAAACAAAATTGATTATTCTAAGAATTAGGACAAATGACAAATCGTCATATTGATCGATGTAACACTTATTAATTAAAAATACCCTTTCTCATTTTATCGAACAAAAGAAATCATTGTTTCTAATTTTATAGTCCTTTCACAGTGGAAAAAAACTTATTTGATAGTGAAAGCGTTATATCAACTAATAAAAAGAAAAAAAACTGATAAGATATTTGCACATAACTCTAGGCAAGAGATTGAAAGCAAAATCTTATGCCCTGTCACACTTTTATATCTTGACTTATATACTTTTATTATCAATATAAATTTCTAATGATTTTTGACAGCAGTCAAGAGTACAAATAAAATTGAGTACTATTTCTTGTCATAATTTTGTTTTAGCGAAGAATTTTGAAACATCGATCCTTTTTCAAAGGTTAAAGGTTTAAAGGAATTTAAAAAAAATTCAAATAAATATGAAATAATGTTTTAAGGTGTGTATAAATCAAGTCTAGATATTTCAAAATGCTAGGTCAGAGTAGAAAGAACAACATAATTTACAGATAAAGAACCTCAGGAGGACATCACCGTACACTGCAGACTATTAATCGGCCGAATGTTTGCTTATTATCGTTGGGCCTTATTAGAGTGCGAACATCCCTGGCTGCTTGATAGCCTTCCACTTAAAAAGTTACCTATCGGCCAATTGCTTTTTTTCCCCCCGCAACAGCAGAGGTCATATAAACCCTCAGGGTGCCAGTGGTAAGTATGTCGAGTTCAAACCCGGGACCTAAACCATTGTAGCCACTGACCCCCCCCCCCAAACCGATTGCTTACTCAAGGCTACAATGAAAGTGTGCACACTTACTGACTACCCAGCCTAGAAGTTAGCTTGTTATGTATTTTATTTAATAGAATTTATAAAAATATGTTTAAAATTATTTTGTTATTATCAATAATTATTTCAAAATACAAACGATTTATTATTATTTAAAAAAAAGTTTACAAATTTTTTGTACAGGATCCCTTTTTTATACAGACCAGCCACTTTTATTATAAACAAACAAGATATTTTTTTTCCAAATACAAACAATTTTTGCTGTATCAAAAATCAAAATCGGTCAACAATTTCTGAAAAATAATTTTTATTTATTTATTAAAAGGCCAGGGAGGGTACATATATTTAAAAAATAGTATGAAGTTGGGTATTTTTAGGAAGATTTTTATCAAAGACATGATGAACCATTGAGCGACTACTGAGACAAATTCAAGCTTCCCCATCAAACCTAATTCTACATGGCAAAATTTCTTTTATAAGATTTGTTTGTACTAAGAATGTAAAGAGGGAAAGGGGAGGGCACCACCGTCACAAAGGGGGACGGTTTGGAGGTGAAAGTCTTACACCCATTAGTGTTCGTAGGTCTAAACTGAGAATAACTTGAGGCTGCCATTCCTGAGCCTCTGTGCATTAAGGAATAATACGAGCAAAAATGCGGCCAATCTGCTGTCTGGTTATTTACAGTCGTCTCTTGATAATTCGAAACCCAAGGGATAATTCGAATTATTAAGAGGAGAAAAAAAAACTGTTAAGAGATGATATGCATTTTTCCAAGTTATTACTTAAACTGTACATACATAAAACATAATAAAAAGGCGGAAATAGATCAACTGAAAATTTGAATTTTACTGCACTTTTGTTTCAATGTGAACTGGCATCCTTTGTTTAACCTTCATGCGGGTGCACGTTTTTTTTTCTTTCTTTTCACTACCACCAATTGATTTTCACTTGTTTTTATCCAATATCTCACCCTGATCTTTTGAAATAGGGGAAATTTTGATAGAAACTCTAACACACATGATCAAACATTGGAAAAATTTATTATCAATGTGACAAATAATGAATCATAAGAAATACGAGATTAACAGACAATATAAGTCTTTTGAAGTAAATATATAGCAAAAGAAACAAGCATGAAAAACTGAAACCTGTAAAAGACATTATTCATTTTCGTCTGAATCATATTGGTTCATCGAATGTCATCAGGATTATAGAAATGTGCCCTAAAAATATGAAAAACACCCAGTTCCTTTTGAGAAGAAAGTAATTAAAATTTTACAAATTAAAATTAAAAGTTACATATTGTACTACTACTATGGAACCCAAAAGTCCTAATTAACTCGAGTAAGAATCTCAGCAATTTCGGATATATGTATTACATTTTTCTGATTTTTAAAGATTTCACGACCTTGCTTCAAATAAACAATGATAACTCCAAAACTAAAAGGTTTTGGGCAAATCTGTTGATACCACTGAAAACTTTGTTAAATAAGCGTTTTAGTAGCCAGAACTTTGAAAAATAGTTTTTTTTGTTTTGTTTTTTTTAAGTTGATAAACACATACTATGGTGGTAAAAATGATGAATGATGGAGTGAGTGTGGTGTTCAATCCTTTTTAAAAAGAAGTTTTTTTGCAACTGTGTTTTGTGTTGCAAAACAACTTACTGTGAGTAGGAATTATCTTTTTAAAAAGGATACTATGGTAATTCTAAACTACTATTTCCAAACCTAGCGACCAACAAATTTCAAAAAACATACTCCATTTAATATCCTTTTTAGTGGTGCTTTTTTAATTAATTCAATCAAAGATGAAGAAATTGATGAAGTAAAGGAAAAAAACTGTGGCTGACGAATTGGTAAGGAGGAACGATTAATAAAAATAAAAAACTTAAGGAAATTTTGAACGTTTTTATTAAACTTTTTTTAAATCTCTCCACCCTCCGCAATGCACAAACGAGACCGTTTTCTAATATTAGCCACTCGAGAGTTTAATTTAATTGTAAGTTTTTCTGCAGCGGACGGGATTCGTTGCTTTAAAATTACAACATAGTGCTAAAAAGATATATTGATAACTAAAAAGTTTTGATCCTTAAAACTCTTTTATTCCGAGGAATAGTAATACAATATTCAAAGATGCAGTCGTGTTGTTAAATAAGTAAACACGATTTGTTTCGAACCCAATTAAAAAAAAAAAAAAAATTAATAAATTCATTCAAAATTTCCTTAAGTATTTTTTTTTTAATTTTCCACCTTACCAATCTGTCAACCATGGTTTTCTCCTTTCCTTCATCAATTTCTTCATCTTTGAAGAAATGAATTAAAAAAGCAATTACTTCACTAAAAAGGATATTAAATGGAGTTTGTTTTCTGAAATTTGCTGGCTAGGTTTGTAAATAGTAATTTATTATCACCTTAGTAAGTTTTTCAACTTTGAAAAAAACATTTTTTTTTCTTGAAGTTCTGGCTAATAAAACGCTTATTTCACCAACGTTTGCAAGTTTAGTATTGAACACATCTCATTGCAAATTTAACGCAGTTTTCAGTGGTATCAACGGATTTGTCCAAAACCTTTTAGTTTTGGAGTTATTCATCTGAAGCAAGGTCATGAAATTTTAAAAATCAGAAAAAGTGAAATAACTGATTGTTGCGATTGAGACTTTTTGGTCCACATTTTGAATGTGGAATCTACTGGCAAAGTTTGTGACACGAGTAGCCAAACACCCTGTATAATAAGTGCTATGATGCCTCTTGCTTAAAGATTATATAAATACAAGTGTATTTATGAGTATAGCTTTAGTGTTTTCGTAAAAAATTGTTTATAACTGACAGAAATATTGATTGTAGGACCTTGACAATGACCTAGTGTGTTGAAACCGGTCGGTAACAAAGTCAATCGGACATTGAAAGTCTATTTATTGTGGCCTGAAATCATCAACCTCCTAAAGTATTAAAACTGAGGCCCACCACATCCCATCGCTATATCGGATAACAAAAGTAGATCGTTACATGAATTGTAGCAGCCCCGACAATGACTAGCATTTTTTTCAACTCAAACGCTTGAATATAAATTCAAATAGAAAATGGAATCTTATGACTATTCATGACCATAATCATTTATGACTTTTATATGTCATAATTGAATATGAATGAAATAATTAATTATAATTAGGTGATTAAAAAAATATGTTTTGACTTGATTGCTAGTTTCGAACCTCCATTTTAGCATTGCTCCACCTCGGAATTTCCACGACCATGTTAACAATGCAATCAGCTTCATTCGAGTAGACTGGAATGTCGTGGAAAGGAGAAATGAAACCGCTGTCGTTTTCTGTACAAAAAAAAAAAAAAAAAAACAACAGTTGAGGTAATGAAGGAAAAGAATTAAAAGCATAGGGAAGACTTACTGAAGTATATTTTGTAGTCGAGGGTGTTGGTGGCACCTTTCTGTACGACACAGTACTTCATGTTGTAAGTCTTGTCAGTACAACGATCAGCGATGGAATGGATAAGCCGGGTGGAATGAGAACGTCCCAATCGGTCAAGAAAGAACCAGTTAGCTGTTCGATAACTGTACCTCAGCACGTGTGGAAACAGCTTCATTTCAGATTCTAGCGCTGCTTGACGGAGGAACTCAGCAATTAATCGTTACAATATTCCTTCTGACCCTTGGCCCCACTTAAGTTTACTACTTTGAACACTAAAAGAAAGAAAAAGGTGTGACTATTTATAAGAGATAAATCCACAAGGACGAATAATCTCACTAGCTTTTACCCCACCATAAATCAAGGAACATAGACAAATGCCATTAAAACTAATTTACAAGAAGTCGAAGGAATACATTATGATTACATTTTTAATATTTAAAACTAATAATTTAAAACTTAAATTACTGAATATACTGAACACAATGCATACTAATTATATACTTTACTTGTATGCTACACATATTAGAAATTATACATTACATTATACGCCATCTGCATTTATTGAAGCTATTATCTGTTAGTTTTTATGCTAAATATATTTATTGCTAATAAAATTTGCAAGAATGTGCTTTTTGTATAAGCATAATCATATATAAGTAAACTTAGTATTTGTTTTATTCTATCATAAATATATAAGAATGGTACATGGACCATCGGCCTTCATCGATGTTAAATCTGCTCATTTTTATGCTAAATAGATTACAAATGGCAAAAGTGTACAATTTGCAAGAGTGTACTTTTTGTTAAGCATAATCATATATAAGTAAACTTAGTGTTTGTTTCATTCTATCATAAATATTTAAGAAATGGTACATGGACCATCTGCCTTCATCGATGGTAAATCTGCTCATTTTTATGCTAAATAGATTAGAAATGGCAAAAGTGTACAATTTGCAAGAGTGTACTTTTTGTTAAGCATAATCGTACCTAAGTGAACTTAGAGTTTGTTTCATTTTATCATAAATATATAAGAAATGGTACATAGACCATCTGCTTTTACCAATGATACTATTTGTTAGTTTTTATGCTAAATATATTAAAAACGGTTACAGTTAAATTTGCAAAAGTGTAATTTTGTATAAGCATAATCATATATAAGTAAACTTAGTGTTTGTTTCATTCTATCATAAATATATAAGAAATGGTACATGGACCATCTGCTTTTATCAATAATACTATTTGTTAGTTTTTATGCTAAATATATTAGAAATGGTAAGAGTTAAATTTGCAAAAGTGTACTTTTCGTATAAGCATAATCATACCTAAGTGAACTTAGAGTTTGTGTCATTCTAGCATAAATATATAAGAAATAGTACAAGGACCATCTGCCTTCATCGATGTTAAATCTGCTCGTTTTTATGCTAAATAGATTAGAATTGGCAAAAGTGTACAATTTGCAAGAGTGTACTTTTTGTATAAGCATAACCATACGTTAGTAAACATATAAGAAATGGTTCATGGACCATCTGCTTTTATCAATACTATTTGTTAGTTTTTATGCTAAATATATTAGAAATGGTAAGAGTTAAATTTGTAAAAGTGTACGTTTTGTATAAGCATAGTCGTACCTAAGTGAACTTAGAGTTTGTGTCATTCTAGCATAAATATATAAGAAACTATACATGGACCATCAATTTTTAAAGATGTTACTATTTGTTCATTTTTATGCTAAATACTTACCGTTTGCTTTGTTTCTTTCATAAATATATTTAAAAATGTACACGTACCACCTTAATGACGTTACTATTTATTCATTTTTATGCCAAATAAATTAGAAATGGTAAAAGTAAAATTTGCAAGATTGAACTTTTTGTATAAGCTTAATCATACATAAAATAAGCAAAACAATGTATATCCTGTTTTTATGCTGTATATATAAGTAATAGTACACAGAAAATGCCCTCATTTTTATACAACATACTGGCTACTATGCTTTTGAGCTAAATCGTTAAGCATGATACACCTATTGTCTTTCTTGTTTTTATGCTAAGTGTATAAGCATAGTAAATTCACTGCCTACTATGCTTTTGAATTAAATCGGTAACCATATTTGACCTACCTGGCTGTCTTGTTTTTATGCTGAATAATAATAATACACAGACATGCCTTGTTTTTATACTAGATGTACAAGCATAATAAACCTGTTTTTTGTCCTGTTTTTATGCTGAATATAAGCAATAAAATCCTCAATTTGCCTTGTTGGTAGAGTATACCTCATTTTTATGCTAAATGTATTAACATACATGCACTTTGTACTTAGCTTTTGTGCTAAATTTATATGCTTATTATAACTGCTGTCTGTGCTGGTTTTATGCTATGAATAATTTAAAAATTACGAATACAATCTGCCTTGTTCTTATCCTAAATAGAAAATAACTGGCATCAGCTTAGTTTTCAAGCTGAATATGAACATAGTACACTATCTAATTTTTGTTCTAAATAGATAATAGTACATGCAACACCTGCCCTGTTTTTAAAATGAAACGCAAAAAATATGTACTCCATTTTTATGCTAAATGTACTTCCTTGTACTAAATATGTAAGCATAATACACCTAATACACGCCGTTTTTATAACAAATGCATAAAAAATAGTACATGGATGGTCTGGCCTTTTTATTTTAAACAGATCCTTTATTTTTATATTTTTGTACCGAAATGTTAAACAATAGTCTGCTAGCATGTATTACTTGGTGAAAATTGTAACTGACATATTATAGTTATGTGCCCGTATCTTGATCATCCTCGTCTGAATTTACTCACTAATTTTATCTATTAGATCTTTCGGCATTTTGCTAAATCAAATGTTCGGTAATACACACGTGTACACTGAGAGAAAAGCCGCACGACGGTGAAAGTGTAGTTTGGTCATTTCTGAGCATTTTTGGACTGTACAACATAAAATAAAACAATTTGAAAAAATGACTTTTATTACTTAAGTTCCTGATTTAATACAATAAAATACAAATGTAAGAAAACTATTCCTTAAATGATTTTAGTAGTATTTTTTTGTATTGTCGTATGTTTTAAAAGAAATAAGAAAAGTAAATACTTTCCAAGTTGATATTAGCCTCTATGGTTTACCGTTCAACCTGAAAATAATATTTTCATCATAGAAGAAAAATATTGTTTATATAAAAAATGTATAACATGTAATAATAATAAAATAATCATTTATGGACATGGAACCAATTTTATTTTTAATAAAATGCATGTTTTTAACTTTCAGTACTGATGTTTTATTTGAATATGCCTGCATAGGTCAACCCCCCACAAAATTTGTTTTTCGTGTTCCAACTCTTTCTGAGTCTGTTCACCGCAAGGAATAAAAGACAATTTTTGTACACACTTTATTTCTCTTACAGAGTTTGTGAAAATGGAACTATACTTTGTCAAGTGTAACCGACGAATGCGCCCTGCAGATTATGAATAACGACGAATTCTTCCATCTGGAAATCATTTTCATATAAATATAGTAACAATTCACTGAGAGAATGCAGGCAGTAACGATGCCCAACTCTGAACAATAGTCACATCTTCGGTTTCAAGACACCTCTGCAGAAATAAACAAAACAAAAAGAAAAATAACAGCATTAACCTAAAATAATTGAGGTCACAACTATTGCAAATCCTGCTTTTGTAATTTGTTCACAGGAGTAAATAAATAGATAAATAAAATTGTAATTTTTTAAACTCAAACCTGAACCAAAAGCAGAAATTTGATGGAAAAAGCTCTCTATTTAATTTCAGAGAAATTTCCGTCGAAAAATATTCATATTAAGAAATTTGACTAACAGAATATGGATAATTTTCTAAGGTAATTCTAGTGAGTGTATAAGGTTAAATTGCTCAAAACTATCCGGAAAAATATTCCTTTTTAATTACATTCAACAATAATTTAAAACAAATATGGTTGATCATCACTTGGCAAAAAGAGAATAAGATTACAGAGGCTTGGTTTTTTTTTCTTTCGTTTTATATTGTCACACTACATTATACTTTTCAATAAATATCAACAAATTAAAAGACTGATTTATTTCATCCACAGATAAAAAGCCCATCACAGATTCAACAGGTCAACGACCTGTTTATTGAGAAAATACAGAGCTAATACTTCTTAAACACAACTCGCTTTAAGAAATTTGATATTATATGAATAACAATACTTACAAGTACATCGAATATTTTATTCTTAATTGTAACATTTGTCTTTTACATTCCTATATTTCCTTATTCTTTATTATATTTAGACAAAAAACATGATGCTATTTGTATATAAATTTGGATTTTTTTTCTTCAGAAAAATTTCAAATTCAAGTTTGTTTTTCTGTGATTATAAAATAAATTGAACAAAAAAACAAAAACCTATCGATCTTGAACATCCACAGTTTTTCTAATCACTGGAACTTTACAGGCATAATTAAATTGAGAACTATTTTCAATTTAGTAACACAGTGACAATGAATTTGTTTAAAAAAAGGAAATTTATGGCTTCAAAATAATAGAAAACAAAAGTTAACTATATTAAAATAAAATAAAAATGTTTAGAAGCTTTATCTAAACTTCAAATTTACATGATCCATTAAGTATCATAAAAAGTAAAAATACGAGACAGGTAGCATATGTACACAGGAATAAACATGTATTATCTGGAATAGGTTTCAATGTATCTGGGATGTTTTACTTGCAAACATTTTCAAAACAACTTGGATGGAAATGGATCCTTAGAAAACAACGCAGGGTTGTTTTTCTTTATATTTAATATAAATATTAATCCCTAGGAATAATTTATTGGCCATCCTTTCCCTTTATCAAGAACCTGCACAATGTATAATCATGAAAAATTAAATTAGATTTTAATTCACAATTTCAAATTTGTTTCTACTATTATACAAGGCTAGTTTTATTTTGTATTGAACCATAAATTGTGAAAAAATTAATTAAAAAAAAAAAAAAATAAAATTGACTAGGACATAATTTACCCTAAACTCTTCAGTACTAAACATAAAACGAACTTTAAAATTGTGGGATAAAACAAAGTGCTCGTTGAAAAGAAAAAGACAAAAGAATACAGAAGATAGCTGCATAAGTAAATTTACATATATGCTTCAGATTTATTATTTGCCAATGTTTCCTACCTTGGAATGTTCTAAGTTTGAACATACCTTCATGTTTTATTTATTTTTTTCAATATCAATGGATGCTTCAAGATAAACCATTTGGTAGCTTGATTCTATGTGCAAACAATCATCATAACAGTGTACGGGGAAAACATAAGCATTTTTTGTTTAAAGTGAACATTAAGTAGATTGTTAATAAAGAATAATACATCAGCAAGACAACCTTCCTGACATTCAAAATATATTAGGAGCTAAGAGTGTATTTACAATATATAATTTTCAACTTCAATCGAAACTTTTTATCCAATTAAAAATACCTGCAAATAAATATTCACAATATAGAAGTAACCATCTCTGTATACTTCTTAAATAACAAAAAAGAAATATATAGTATTTTTTTTTACACATTTTCATAGATTAATACTATCATTTCTTTAACATATTGTACCTTTTAATCGTAATCTATATCCATATTGAAATCGGGTCTAGATGACGACGAAGTGCTCGTATTATTACCAGATGATGATGTTGTGGATGAGGATGATGGTGTCCTAGAGTTGTTTTCGCTCGCATACCTATAAACATGTCCAATTTATTTTAACTGAGAAAATTTTAAACCAGAAAGTTGGCAATTACCGAAATAATGTTGCCAAACTATTTCCGACGACATTATTCCTTGAGCTGTCTGAATCTTCGGCCCTTCCATCCTCGATCAATGTCTTGCGACATATTGGGCAAGTCCCATGCTGAAACATGAACAACAACAATTAAACACATCGAGCGAATGAAGAATTTTTAAATTTTAAAAACTGCTAACAATGCAAATATTACAAAACTTTCAACTTAAATCAAACGCCACACATTAAGTTTAAACTTCTGCATACTTACTTATTTGAAAATCACAATACAATGACTTCAATAATTTAAAACCACTTTTTTTTTTTTTTTAAATTTAGACTATAATAATAGAAGTAATAATAAAGTTATTTTATAAAAATTAAGGTTTGACAAATATGTTCGTCCAGTTTTACCATAGTAAGTTATATAAAAGTTAGTCACAACTGCCTAAAGCCCAGCCAGGCACGATCGTTCCACCAGCCCAAATGGAGCTGCTCCAAAAACCACGCCAATGGTGATACTGAACTGGCGTGGTACAGAGTGCTGGCTATTTGACCAGATTAAACCCGACTGTGCCACTTCAAACTTCTGTGCGGTGTGTTTAAAAACTCGACTTCCCCCTCAATTTCTGCCCTTCTGTGCTTTGAGCAACATCTCCACTTCCACTCACAATTCTTATATTTTTTTAATTGACCTTATTTTTTCAATATCAGTCAGAGCAATCGTCTGTATTTTCGTGTTGTTTTTGGGAAAGGGGAGCGTGAAAAAATGGCCAGGGGTGACAGAGGGAATCGAACCCATGATCTGAGATTCTATCATGCTGACCACTCAGATACCACAGTCCTTCAAATGTTACATTTAATTAGTTTTAAAGAATATATGGTTTTAGTGAAATACTGACCATTGTGTCTAAAATTTTAATACATTTGTCAAATAATCCTGTCCTTTTCTATTTCATAAGGCTATAAAAGAAAGGAGAGGATCGGTGCGGAGTGGGGTTGGGCAGTATAGGGCTTCCTCTTAGAAATCATACGCCGAAGCCAGAGGGGGTAAAAAAGAAAAAAGATCGACACCAATTTTTGAGAGTAAGTGAACAAATCTGAATCGAAGAATGCTGCCTTTAATTCAGGCACAGCAAATGAACTGATGCGGCTCGGCAGAGCATAAGACTATTGCGCAGTTTATGGCGGCGAACTTTCAAATTGTCGCCAAATCCCTACTGCTGAGATGTCCAATCGTGCAATTCGAGAGAAGTGGAAAAGGAAGAGGCTCTGGGAGGAATGTGGGGTCGGTTTTGATCTGGTAAAGGAATGGAGAAAAGAGGATTTGCCTGGGGAGTCTGCGCAGACAAGAAAACTGTATAGCAAAATTCTATTATTTTCCATTTTGTATATACTTCTACAATTTATATGAGCTCAGAGTTTTGGACAGAGGTGAATTCATTTATTCCTTCTTTTATTTTTATTTATATGTAAACAAAAAGTAAACTTAAAAAAAAAAATTAAGTATATTTGACTTTATCTGTATGAAAGTGTTTTTTATTATTTTTTAATTATACACAGATTTGTTTAAAAAAATAGGTAACAGTGGAATTTACTTTATTTAATTTTACCCTAACACAACAAGTTGAAAATTGTCAGCACACATAACATTTTGGTGAGTTTTCATCTAGAATACTTCAACTCCTTATGTATGTTGAATTTGTCATAGTAGAAGGAAATAATAATATATTTGCATTTATATAAAAAAAGAGAACAAATGAGTTGTGAAGGTTTAAAAAAATAGCAGTTTAAATGGGGATGTTGCCTTACCAGAACACGTCCCAAAAGTGGTTTGCTAAATTTTGGCCTGGAGGTTTAAGAGCTAGTCATCCAATTGTTTGAGTGTTGTGAAGAAAATAATCAACAAAAAGCTGCCACAAAGTTTCCCATTTAAGCGTTGAAAACTGTTCAAGCTGGGATATATTTGGGTGCTGCTTTAACTAAAGCTAATTTGTGTCATATCCATTTGTGACTGCTGTGACATTAAGAAATTTTTTAAAGTGAAAGTTTATTAGAGATAAAAAATGAGTCCTTTATGATTAACATGGTGCATAAGTGTTTATACAGATACAAGAGTGAAGAGCCAAACAAGAAAAGGGTACAAAGAAAATTATACTTCTGTGGCTGGATTTTTAAGGTATTACATTCAGGCAGAACAGACTTGTCTATCATTTACAATTAACAAAATTGGCCTGTGTGATTAACCAAACTTCCAGAATTGGTTAATTGGATAGTTGTTTTTCATCACGTGACGTTCTACACATTTATGACCCAGAGAGGATTATTGAGACTTGGTTGAGTCTTGTTGTTGGGGTTGTTTTATCTTATTGACTGGACTTAGCACCTTCTGATTACCACTTATCCCGATCATTGAAAAACTATCTAAATGGGAAAACTTTCATTTTTGGATTAGTTATTCTTGTAAACACGACATATGAAATTGGTAAACAGAGGGCAAGAGGTCATTAATAATAATAATAATAAAAAAAAAAAAAAAAAAAAAAACTGATATGCACTATGTATACTCAATAAATGTTTAATTTCACAACCGAACAAACTCATTTGCCAACCCACTAAGAAATGAGAAAAAAATTGACCGGAAGGGTACTAAAATTTCAACTTTTTCTTACGTACTGATTTAACATCAGTAAATAAAGTTATTTTATACTCCTCCTTTTATCCCTTGAAAATCAGGATGGTAAATGTGTAATATATATAATATATATTGTGTTTTTGTTAAATAAATTATTTGTAAGCAATAATTTAACAATATATATTACAAAAAATTATGTATTCGGTTTATCTGTAGTAGTATCACTTCAACTTAAAATTTTTAACATTTGAAAAGTTCCTGACAGAAAATTTAATTAAAACCGATTTGTTTTCCAATCAAGCTGTAAAAGTAAAATAAAAAAAAGGCAATTAATTTATACTAACTAGTTCAAGCCAAGGGATAATACAATTTTCATGGTAAACATGTTCACATGGTAACTTTCTCACAGGTTCGTCCACCTTGAAATCTTCCCAACAAACTGAGCACTGAAGGTTTATATCTGAAAAATTAAAATGTGAGATCGCAAGAATAAAAATTTACAAGATTTGTTTTTCCTTTTTTCTTGGATTTTTTTTTGAACTTCGAACATCCCGGTGGACTTTTTTCTTTCTTTCGTACAGTTGTAAAATATTTACACCTACCAGCTTGCTCTTTGGTGATCACAGTCGTAGGAATTTCGTTAATTTTCTCTTTTGCCAAAGGGGGTGGTCCTGTGGTGTCCATTTGGTTAAGTAATTGTGTCACAATTGCATCCAATCCTTCCCTTCCCCAGGCATAGTCTCCAGGGTTTCCAAGCAGTAAACTGTTAATTCAACGATATAAAATTTTAATAATTTAAAAGAAGATTTTTTTTTTCAATTCATTCAAGCTGTACTTACACAGGACCACCACCGCCCCTACCAGTTCCTACTCCGATTGTGTTAGATCCGGCCCATCCACCTCCAACCTCTGCAAGATTCATGACGAAGTCTTGGAACAATGTTTCAATAGGGGCATCAATATTGAATTGCCTCATTCTGCCAGCTCTGAAATTTTCCCTTAAATTTAGAAGTTGGATAAAAATCATGCGATTTAAAAAACGTAATACCTTCCGGATCGGCGTCCTCTCCCCCGCCTCTCTTCATTCCCTGAGGTGAATAACATATCATGGAAGACATTTAATGCCTTAAAAACCAAAACAAACCAAGTTATTATTATAAAAAAAAAAATTAAAATTAAAATTAAAAAAAAAAAAAAAAACAAAAAAAAAAAAACAAACAAACAAACTTAACAATTACTCACATTACTCACCTCATCAAAGGGAATTCCCTCGAGATCCATATCACTATCATCATTTTGTTCTGGAGGATTGTTTAAAGCCTCTATAAAACCGCACTGGCATGTAGGGCATGTAAAATCCTTAAAATACATAAGAAATTAATATTTATGTCTACAGAACGTAGTATTATGTTTAGTAATATTAATAAAAGGTTCCTCAAGTTAACAATTTATCACAAAATAAACTTGCATTGACTATTGTTATTTTACAATTAATTATGATTTTCATGCATATAAAATAAGGCATATATTAATAATTAAGTAAAAATTAAATACAACAAATAGTTTATTAATTTTTTTTACTACTAGGGGCCTTCATATAAAGCAGATTTATTTTCTACAATCATCTTATCATCTATTTATTATTTATAATAATTTCCACATGATATTGATCAAAATCAGTTTTTTTTAGAAAATTAAATCGGATAAATAAAAAAATGGGCCGGGACTGATTAATAAAATGCTCAAAAGTGGAGAACATTCAGTGAAAAAAAATTAAATTTAGGATATAATAGTGGTTAGGTTCAATGATTCTAGACTAAGAAACTACAAACTAAGCAATTTTCAATTCAATTCCAGTTGGTTCACATAGAATAGCCTGCTGGACTAATACAAGAAAAATAGATATGAATTCTCTTACAAATTTTTTTCGAAACAAATACAATTTCTTTATTTGTCTAGCATTGTTTATTCACAAATTGTCAAGATTAATAAGTTGGCTAGATGATTTAGTCTGAGAAAGACTCAATTCAAAAACCCAATTATTTTTGTTTGTGTAGAGACAACAGAAATGAAAATGAACAGAAAAACCTAAATATACCTGAACATCTGTTATAAAAATATTATAAGCCCGATTTTAACTAATTGGGAAACTTTTAAGACTGTCTATTTCAAAAAAATAATCATACTGAGAAACATTGTCAATGATTTAGGGTTGTGTAGGGTAAAAAAAATTCTAAAGAAAATATCACTTAACTTTAATCCTACTAGTCTTTCTTCTGCTATGATTCATTCATGATAATTGGCATAAATTGAATATTTACACGTCCTACAACAAATATTGTGTCGTCAATACCCTTTTTATTCAACTCTAACACTCTTAAAAGGACATGGTTATATTTGCAAAGTGTAACAACTGTAAATGATGCAAACTGACAAACTACGTCACCAACTATAAAAAAACAACAACAACAAACAAAATTGAATATATTTGCAAATAGTGTGCAATCATTGTCTGCTTTTTCCCATACAAGAACTGTCGATAAATTTGTAATGAACACAAGAAATGATTCAAATCAACAAGTTAAATTAAAATTTTGTAAAATTTATCCATGTAATGCAGGGTGATGAACCTGAAATTTGACCATTAATGATCATTTTTGTCTATAAGTTGATCTGGCATATTTTCAGTGTCCAGACCAACTCAGTGAGAGGAAAGGTTGGGACAGGTAATTCTTATCACACTGTCATTATGATGAGTTGTAGATTTTTCTCTTAAAAATTTAAATAACCCTATGTCATCATGCTGGCAGAGAATATTTACTTTTATTTTATTTTTTATTATTTTTTTATTTTATAAAACAAAACCTATGTAAGATGGTAGGAATTGAATCTCAGTATGTAACTCTTTTGAGTGCTTGGTTTGTCACAAATTAGAGATCGTGGACCAGTTCCACATATATCTTTTTGTTCGGAGAAATCAATGGAACCCGTCCAGTTGTATATTTATTGACGACTGATTGACAACTGATTTAATATTATAAAACTACATTTACGATTATCTTCTTTGTTTGTTACCATGTCGGAAAACCCAAAAACCTCAGACAATTTAACTGACATGAACCATAAACTTACAATAAGAATGAAAAATCTAAAAAAAAAAAAAAAAAAAAAAGAAAAGAAAAAAAGAGGCAAATAAATCATTATCAACCTGTCATCATGACTTAAGTCACAGGTTTTTATTTCTAACAAATTTGAATAACCGTATGTCATAATGATGAAGATATTTCATTTAAATTTAATAAAGGCATAATAACGATTTAACATGGTAAGATTGTACAAAATGAATCTCAGTTTGAACACTTCTGACAGTTTAGTTCATCACAAATTAGTGATGGCAGATCTGTTCCACAAAGATCTTTCTGTTCTGAGAAATTTACTTGACAAATAAGTGTATTTTTTATTGACGATGAATTTACAATCGATTCAATGTAATAAAACTACATGTTTGTAATCATGTTAAAAATTCTACAAAGCTCAGGTGAACAATTGCCCTGACATTTAAATCTACAAAGGAAAAATGTAAGAGAAAAGGTGGGATAAATCTCACCCTGTCATCATGTCTGTGTTGCAGATTTTTAGTTTTTCTTACAAATTTAAATAACCGTACATCATAGTACTGAACAAGAGTGTATTATTTATTTTTTAATAAAGGCATAATAATAATTTAACATGTTAGGATTGAAAAAAATGAATATCAGTATGAAACCCTTTTGAATTTTAGTTTGTCACAAATTAGTGATAGCAGGTCTGTACCCAATAGATCTTTTTGTTCCGAGAAGTCAAAGGATCTTGACAAATTGATTCAATTAAATAAAACTACAAGTATTTGTTTGTAATTGTTAGAAAACCTCAATCAAATATAAGTGACAAAAATGTAGAAAAAAGGTGGGGTCAAATAAATCTTTATCAAGATGTCATCATGATTGGGTTGCATATTTTTAGTTTTTCTTACAAATTTATATAACCGTACGTCATAATACTGATGAAGAATACACTTTATTTTTGATTAAAGGCATAATAATGCTTTAACATGTTAGATTGTAAAAAAATGAATCAGTATGAAACTATTTTGACTGTATAGTTTGTCACAAATTAGTGACAGCAGATCTGCTCCGAGAAGTCAAAGAAACTTCACAAATTGCTGTATTTTTATTTATGATTAATTAACAACAGATTCAAATAAATAACACTACAAGTATTTGTTTGGAATTGCTAGAAAACCTCAGTCAAATATAACTGACACAAAATATTTAATCTACAATAAGAAAAATGCAACAAAATATCACCCTGTCATCATGACTGAGTAGCAGTCTTAGTTTTTCTTAAAAAATTTAAATAACGTACTGACAAAGAGTATTATTTGTTTTTGAATAAGGGCATAGTAATGATAAAAACTGTTAGGGTTCTAAAAAAGAATCTCAGTATGAAACTCTTTTGACTGTTTAGTTTCTCACAAATTAGTGATAGCCAATCTGTTCCCCACAGATCCTTTTGTTCCGAGAAGTCAAAGGATCTTAACAAATTGATTCAATTAGATAAAACTTCAAGAATTTGGTTTGTAATTATTATAAAACTCAGCAAAATATAATTGACACAAAATGTTAATCTACAATAAGAAAAATGTAAAAAATAAGATAAAAGGTGGGGACGGGATAAATCTTTATCACCCTGTCATCATTACTGAGTTGCAAATTTTTAGTTTTTGTTACAAATTTAAACAACCGTATGTCATAGTACTGACAGAGCAAATAATTTATTTTTGAATAAAGGCATAGTAATGATTTAAAATGTTAGGATTATAAAAAATGATCTTAGTATGAAACTCTTTTGACTGTTTGTCACAAATTAGTGATAGCAGGTCTGTCCCCACAGATCGTTTTGTTCTGAGAAGTCAAAGGATCTAAACAAATTGATTCAATTAGATAAAACTACAAGTATTTATTTGTAATTGTTAGAAAACTTCAGTCAAATGTAATTGACACAAACTATTAAACTACAATAACAAAAATGTAAAAAAATAAAGAATGGTGGGGAGATATAAATCTTTATCACACTATCATTACTGAGTTGCAGATTTTTAGTTTTTCTTACAAATTTAAATAACAGTACGTCATAATACTGATTAAGAGTGTATTATGTATTTTTGAATAAAGGCATAATAATTTAAATGTTAGGATTGTAAAAAATGAATATCAGTATGAAACTATTTTGACTGTTTAGTTTGTCACAAATCAGTTATCACAGATGAAACTGTTTCACACAGAAAATTGTTTATTTTTGTGTCAAGGATTAATCAAAGGAATTAGATCTAAAGTGAAGTTCATTGATTTTTGAAATTGTCGAGACCTAAATACACGAAGGTAATCTGTGGCAGGAATGGAGTGTCCTATAAACAAAGTTGTTTATTAATGAAAAAACTTGAGGCCTTTTTGGGATGGAAATTGTTAGAAAAATAGCCGGCCGTTTCGACTCGACTTAATCGTCGTAATCGTTAAAACAAATCTACTTCATATGGTGTAACAGAGACCAGGGAGCGAAGGTGTCACACGTCCTGGTATCTATTACACAGTACGACCACAGTCCGCCCCGTCCCGTAATAAAATTTTTAAATAAGCCGAGAATACTCACAGGCAGGACAGAGCTTATTTCTCGGTTGCATTTGTGGCAAAAAAAACTATTTACTGGTAAATTTTCGAGTGCAGCTTCTTCGGCCATGATTCCTTATGATCTCAGCTCAGAGGCATCCCAGCCGACTTGATCCGTACTCCGGCCGTGATCGCCCTTTCCTTCCCATCGGACGCGATCGTTAACTGAAATTCTCATCAGAACTATACTTTTAATCGTTAACTTCTCATTATATTTTTTTTCGGCACGCACTCCAGCCCACGTGGATTTTTTTCCGGGCCGAGTTTGGATTTTGTTTTCGGCCGGTTTTCCCCTTTGAAATCTAGTTTTCGAATTAAGGCGCTTCCTCTCGTCGGTTTATCCACTGGCTTTTTGAACTGTTTACTCTGTTATTTCTTGAAAGGATTTTGCAGTCGGGTGGGAAGGAGTGAAGTTTGAAGTTTTTCGACAATTTTGTCAGTCAGCAGTGAGGCGTCTTATGTTTTTTTTCTCGAATTTTTTTCCACCTCGATTAATTTTATTTAAAATCCGTTGAAAAATGATAAAATACATCACGCTCTTTCTAGCGTGCCTATCCGTTTCTACCGCTTCCAGAAAGGTTATACATTTTATTTTATACAAAAAATATTATATTAAAAAGAAAAAAAAATAAACAAAACGTTTTTAGGTGCATGCCGAGTTGAACCCAGGGTGCGATGAAGAATGCAGGACTTTTCTCAACGGCCCTCTGGTGCACGTAACGGCCGAAGGGGACAACGACACATTACACCACGTCTGGGATTTGACTTATAACAAACCGTGTCTTTTTCTCGCTTTAACACCAGTCGACACACTTTTAGAAATAGATTGGACCAAATTCAACTGGGACTCCTCAGAGGGCTCCGTCCGTTTCACTAAAGAACCGATTTACGCATTTTCTCTCGTTTTCGAAGAGGTGAGAAGAACAAAATGTATGATTTCGTGTAGAGACTTGCATGATGAGACCTGCTTGAACTCATCGGACTGTTTGTTTCGCTCACTAGCGTTTTGACTTCACGCCGTAATCAGTGAGGAACTGTCAATTACAAAGACATGGTGAAGTGTTAAGGTTCGATCAGTTCAACATGGCTCCGTTTATCTTTCACTCATTTTGGCTTTACGCCATCTTCAGCAAGGAACTGCTAATTATACAGATCCGGTATTATTCACTCGCAGACCAAGAAAATAAAAGTAAAGTACATTCTTAGAAGGTTTAATGTCCAACTATCCGTGAGTATCAAAAGCGAAGGGTCAAACCATTTTCAAATAAATTTCAAATATAAATTCAAAATCTTTGCCAGGATTCATACTCATAACGGCAAGTGTGATAGATAAGAGTTGAGAGCCATGTGGGATGTTGGGCCTGCAGCTTGAATTTATCACCACTGATCACTTTTCTAAGTGTCTATTCTTACTGGTTTATATTACGTTTGTTCGTATTTTGGCTTCCCATCATATTGAGTAAGTAACTCAATTATTCAGACCCAAGTAAAGTCTGTTAACATTGTCGCTGGTTTGTCTTACACATTTTGACTTTACGCCATTTTCAGTAAGGAACCAGCAATTATGCAGACCCTGTATTATCCACTCACAGACCAACACAATAAAAATAAAGTAATTTCAGTTGTACAAAGGGGTACAAATGGGGGTGGCTTATGCCCTTAAGGTCCAACCAATCTATGACCATCATTTTTATGCAGGCCAATAAAATACAAGTAAAGTACATTCTTAGAAGGCTTAATGTCTAATGATGGGTGTCATGAACAAAGGGTCAAACCTCCAATTTGGCCTGCTTGGGATGATACCACCCCTCTTTGTACCCCCTTGGTAGAACATTTATTAAGTACTTTAACTCTCTAGGCTAATAAAATAAATGTAAAGCATATTCTTCGAAGACTTAATGACCAACTATCCATGGTGTCAAGAACGAGGGGTGGAATCATTTTTCAAATAAATCTCAAATATAAGTCCAAGTCTTCGCCAAGATTCAAACTCAGAACGGTGGGATGAGTTGAAAACCCTGTGGGATAATGGGCGTGCAGCTTGAATTGATCACCACTGATCACTTTTCTGAGTGTCTGTTCTTACTGGTTTATATTACCTTGGTACACATTTTGTCTTCACATAATATTGAGTAAGGAACTGACAATTATACGGACCTACTAAAGAAGTAAGATTTGAACAGTTCAACTCGGCTCTATTTTTTCTTGCTGGTTTATCTTTCACTCATTTTGGCTTTAAGCTGTCTTCAATAAGGAACTGTCAGTTATACAGACCCTGTATTATCCAAAATAACAGTGAAGTATGTAATTTCTGTTGTACAAAGGGTCCAACTATTCACTGGATGTCATGAATGAAGGGTAAAACCGTATAGGCCCAAGGGCTATGCCTATCTTTGCCTATCATCATAACGCAGACGAATAAAATAAAAGTAAATTATATTTTTAAAGGTTTTAATGTCCAACTTCCCACGGGTGTCAAGAACGAGTGGTAGAATCATTTTTCAAATCTTAAATATAAGTCCAAAGTCTATGCCGGGATTCGAACTCAGAACAGCGAGTATGATAAATCCGAGTTGAAATCAAACCCTGTGGGTGATGGCCCTATGGTTTGAATTGATCACTTTTCCGCGCTTGTCTATTTTTACTGATTTTTGTTACCCTTGTACACATTTTGATTTCACATCATATTGCGTAAGGAACTGTCAATTATTTGAACCCAGTGAAGTGATAAGATTTGATCTGTTTAACATGGCTCTATTTATGGCTGGTTTATCTTTTACTCGTTTTGGCTTGGATGCTCATTTTAAAAAGGAACTGTCAATTATAGACAGTATCATCCACATGCAGACCAATAAAATTAAAATATGTAATTTGTTTTGTACAAAGGGTTTACTATCCAACGATCTACTGGGTGTTGTGAATGAAGGGTCAAATCATATAAGACCAAGTGCTATGCTGGGATTCAAACTCATAACGGCAAGTGAGTTAAATACAAGTAGGATGCCCTGAGAGTTGACGGGCCTGTAGTTTGAATTCATCGGCATCGATCACTTTATTGAGCTGTCGTTGTTTCACTCAAATGAATTTTGGCTTTACGCCATCTTCAATGAGGAATTGTCCTGTGAATGGGCTGAATAAAGTGATAATTTCAATTAATTTTACTTTTTATCTAAAGCCTTGGTTGTGGTCAATTATGACCCCTAAACATATAAGAATTAATATAAAGTGATAATGTTCAATCTGTAAAATATGGGTCTCTTTATTCTTGCTGGTTTATCTGTCACTCATATGCAATTTTTCAAATAAATCTCAAATAAAAGTCCAAGGTCTTCAAGTCATCTTTAGTAAAGTCCCAGTATTATTCACTCCCAGTGTAGTAAATACGATTCAAACCCTCTGTTGGATGATGGGCCTGTAGTTTGAATTGATTGGCAGTGATCATTTTATTGGGTCTGTTTATTCTCGAATGCATTTTAATTTCATGTGAGGAACTGTCAATTTTATAGACATAGCAAAGCGATAAAGTTTCGATAGGTTCAATATTTGTTCATGTACTAGATAAAAAAAAAGTAAATCCTGACATACAGGTTTAACGTTCAACTACCTGTGGTCAAACCACTTGATAATACTTTTTAAAAAATTATTAGGCTACGCTGGGATTCAAACTGCATTTGGCTTTGGCTTGCTTATTCTTAATTTTTTGTATCTGTAAATAAAGAGCAATGGTGAGAGTAAAACCCTGAACCGCTAGCTAGATTCCCAACCACTTGGTCACCGCCACCCCCTTGCAGACCAACAAACCACCAACTTGTAGTTGGATGCACTTTATTTTCTCTTTGTTTTTGTCAGACATATTTTGGCTCCTTGCCATCTTCAATGGTGGGCTTTTATGAACAGTTATTATAAATATTATCTTTTAATGCTCTGCTGGGTTATCTTTTCTTCCTTTTTGATGGTTTGACTTTCTCTCCATTTTGACCTCTTTGCCTATTGAATTTTATTCATTTATTCGCTTTTGTTTTTCAATGATGTAATGGGGTCAGGATGTATTGGTTTGAATGTCTATGTTAGACACGAGTTTATATTTAAATTCCTTATTCGTTAGTTTTTTACTACTTAGGTTTGTCTAAAAGGTTTTATTTTGATTTATGGAACATTATTTATCTTTCATTTGAAATTTTTAATATACAAACGTCTCCCCAAGGGGGTTTGGTTGCTTTTGAATATCTCATTGGTCAAAAGTCCTTTCAAGATTTCTATTTTATCTAATAATAATAGTCTGAGCAAATTTCTACCATTGAACCAAGTCTTATACAATCTAGGAATTTTATTGATTGAATAAACATTACTATAAATTATTGCAAATTGATATCCGTTTGAACGAAAGCCTGGTTTTGTAAAATTTTCAAATGTTCATCTGCAACTGTTTTGTTTTTTCGTTTGGAGTCGATCTTGTGATAAACTCAGACGTGAAATCTTTCAAGAATAATATGCAAAAAGATATCAGGGATGATATGGCTGTTGAACTTTTAACTTGCAGACTAAAACATATGTACTTGAATAGATAATTATTCGATAAAAATTCTGATTCATAGACTATGACTCTTATCAAAATGTTCAACTTCTGTTTCGATCAGAAACTTTTCATTTGCCTTTCTAAAACGCTTTATGTCATGAGAAAAAGTGTGATTCACTCACAATAAACAGTTCGACGAAAAATTATTTCATCCTTTAAAAGTTATCAACAATAATATCGAATCAGCAATATTGAACTGAGATCATCATTTTATGTGAAGCCTGTTGACACTCTTCTAGTTTACCTCCAACATAATTCAATTTTTTAGTTGAATTTTTACCTTAAATTGGTTGTTCCACATAAAGACTGATGGAGGTATAACTACTCAGAAATAAATTATACTTTAAGTCCCGCCAATCCGAATATCCGCCTAATCCTAACACTTCCGAACTTCTTCAACTTAATTATAAATTGTAAGAGTTATTTTAAACTATTCACTTCTTTGTGATGGAACCTCATCATGTATTGTTTAGGTAAATTCAAAAAGCTTTTAGATCCAGGAGATTTTCTTTATTTATTAGCCTTCGTTAAAGCAAAACAGAATAGAAATTACACAAAAACGAACTGTTATTTTCAAACTGTCAACATTGAACATTTTTGTCATTTTTGTGTTTTTTATTTTTATTCTGTTTTGTTATAATGAAGGCTGATGATGCTCACAAGGTGAGTGAAAGGCGTCTTCCATAAATAAAGAAAATCTGCTGGAACTAAAAGCTTTTTGAATTTACCTGAACAATATATAAATTGGGTCGATATAAACATAATTGATAATCCTAACACACTTTGTAAATTTTCTTAGTATTTTTGGAAAATAAAATTTTTTCTATTTTCTAATTAAATAAATTAAGTTATTATGGCTTTGCCAACTCTAAATTTGAATGAGTTTTTTTGCTTCACTTTCTAAAATTGATGATGAACCTGTAGTTTGACTCTTTTCAAACATTTTGGTCTACCTATTAATATTGGTTTGGTTACCAGTAAGTGGTTTTCAGCCAAAGTTATTAAAAAATCGGCAAGAAGCCAAAATGCATGCAACAGACCAAAACAGTATAACAGTCAGAAGCGATCAAAAACAACTTCTCTATCATCGTCTGGCTTTTTCAAAACTTCACCTTATTTTTCAATGTACTCACAGATATTACCCGATATTGCGAGTCTACTAGAGCTGTTTGACTCCTTGCTTCTGCATTATTGCGCTAATCAAAACAGGACTCGATTCTGATCAGTTCAGACCAGCGTAGTGTTTGGCCTATTGTAATTCATTTTTTAACGCACATTATTATTCTGTGATGTTTTTCATAGGTGCATGAGAACGAAAATTGAATATTTCCAAAATGAGACAGAATGACTAAAGAAACATGTTTATACATGTGGAGTGGAAGATAGTTTTGAATGAATAATCTGTTGTACATCAGATCAGCGTAGGTAATTTAATTAAAGATCGGACAGTTCATTTTTAACAAACACCTGCTATTAAAATTTCCCCCTTTTAATTTAATCCTTACTGATCAGCGAGGATATGCAGACCAAGATGATCGGTAAGGATCGAATTACAGGTTCATCACCCTGCATACGTTTACTTGTCTCATAAAAAAGTGGAAAATATTCATGAAAGTAGTTTGTTCACTAAACTAGCTGCAAAATTAAACCACGTAGATTGCTTTAACATGCTTTAACATGCTAAATCTGACTTTTATTATTATTTCATGCTATCATTATAAAAACTCACCTTGTACAAATTTTCAATTATTCTTGCAATTACAATTTTTTAAAAAATTGGTTGAGGAATTAACGATAATTAATTTAAAAAAATTATTACTAAATGACTTCAAAGGTTTTCATTGTACAGAGTGACTTTAATTTTAATGGTGTGGGCCTTTTAAGATCAATAAAAGCTTTTGTGAGAAAATAAAATCAATTGATCTTTAAGCAATTTTATTTTGTATTTTTTAAATTTCATGACATGGTTTTGCCTGATACCACCGAGTATCAGTATTGATATTGGTACTCAACCTGATCTAATTGGAAGTAAGATAAATGATTTTTTTTGTCTTCCTTTAATTATAAATATCCAAATAAAGAAAAAAAATCTACAAAAATTGTTATTGCTACTGAAACTTTCAACTGGAAAATCATCAAAAATCTTCTTTTAATTGTGTGTAGGTATATCTAATAAAGGGAAAACTACCAATAAAAATACTGATGTTGGTGCATTCTTAATCGGCCAATCTATTTATTTGCTTAATGTGTTTATAAAAAATTTTGATTTTGCTATGCTAATGTTGATTTCAGTTGGTTGAGTTCAATGATGTTAACAATACTGGGAAATTTAACTCATCGAATACAAGTCCAGATTACCGAATAGTTCAACCTATGAACTTTAACTGGAGTGTAAAATCTTTTGAAGTGAAAAATAACGGTGTAATCTACACCTTTGTAGGGACCAACAAGACTGTTTCTAACGGCTCAATTGAAATATCTGTAAGCATTTTTAGAAAATTGACTCAGGCAAATTAAAAAAAATTTTTTTTTACATTCTTATTTTTTTTTTTTTTTTAAGCTATCTGCATATGGCAACAGAGGCCATGGCGACATCAGGCCGCACCTCTTGCACACAGGCAATGCCACTCAAGTAGATTTCGAGCTCAAAAACCTTAAGACTCATTTCAAATCGCCGCGATTCGCCTTTAAGCTAGCAATCATTACAACTAGAGAGGATAATACAATAGATCAGACAAAAAAAACGAGCCTACACGATGAACACTCCCCAGGAATATTCACAGTATGTATTTTTTACTTAATAATATAATGTATTGTACATTTCAATTTTAATATTGGGTCGTAAAGTTTTTTAATAGTAATAAAATTGAATTATTGAAAAACAGTACAGACTTATTTTACAGCCTGATATTTGCAATGGTGAAAAAGTTTTAATTTTAAATTTAAGAAAATCTCTTTTGATGGCAGGTTTCTGAAGTTTTGACAAAAGCTGATGAAAAGTACAAGGAAGGACAGGGTTATTTACAGTGGAGAGATGTAGCGTACACTTCACCCGAAAGGAATCAAATCAATTCGACCAACGTCGGCGAAACCAAAGCATTAAAAGAATTACAGCCGAATAACACTTTTTATGGAACTTTCAGCATGGCTTATTTCGGAGAGAAAATATATTCCCTTCCCGCTTACTATTTTTATGTTTACTTCGGCAGTCCGTATGATGGATTTTACACAAAAAGCAGCTATTTATCATGGTAAGCACAAGTAAAACATGTCAATTTATGGTTATAAATTGTTTTAATTTTGTTTTAAGGACTTTGATGGCAGGACTAGGCAGACCAGCCGAAGAGAGCTTTTCCATGTTGGTACTTATAGTTTTAACTTCGTGTTTAGTTGTAATACCAGTTCTTATAATAGTGCTAGGTGTTATTTATCTTATATCTCGAAGGGTATCAAAAGCAAGGGATGATATTCTCACTCAGTAATTTTCTGATTTTCAACTCCAGTCTGGCTCAAATATTTCTCATTATTATTTCACATTTACTCTAAATTTTTTCATTTCTTGAGTTTAAAACTTGCATAAAATTAATCACAAAATTACATTTTAAGATATTCATTATTTTTTTAATTTTTAGTCTTAATTTGTGTAAATATATAAATACATACTCATAAAAATGTGATATTTATAAAATATTTCAGTGACGAGAACATATATTTTTACTAAAAGACTGTTATTTAGGTTTTTTGTGTAACTCGTTCGGAGTTTGTTAATGTGCCTTGTCATTTCAAAAGTTTTTTAAATTATTCAATGATGCGCATTCCTATCTGCGATCGGTAATGACTCAAAGAAATCTGAAGTCGTTAAAAGCCATAGAAAGCCATACTTTGAAATACCTAAGCCTTATAATGTAATGCGAGCCGTCCTTGTTCGGTCATCTGATATTTTTGTAAGTATATTACTATCCAAATAAGTTCCTTTATTTTTTAAAACTTTTGTGATTGTATATTTCTATAACTATTGTATATGAGTAAATAAATAAATTTGTTTATGATAAATAAATATGTTTACTGTATCTCATAAAGTAAATAAAGTAATTCCTATCATAGCAGAGGGCTTAACATACACGAATGTCTCAAACGAGGGGTCAAACCACATTACAATTTATTTTTTTCATACACGAGCAGTTTTCAGCCAATTAATAATCGTCTCATTCAATTAATATTTGTGCCAACTAATTTAATTATTGTCTCTTTCGGGATTTCATAGTCAGGAGAGAAAATAAATACAAGCTAGTAGTTGTGAAAACCTTTATTTAAATTTAAAAAAGTAAAATTATTCATAAAAAAATAAAAATATTTAAAAAATGATAATGAATGATAAGTCGTTGGCATCTTCAAAAGGACATCAGTGCCTGAAATGGAATTGACGCGGCATCTTATTATTTCACCTAAGTTGTGAGTTTCTTTGGCTTCGGCTAACAGGGTTCTTGCAGCTGTCTTAATCTTGGAAAACGCATAATCTGTTGGGTTTAGTGTAGATGAGTAGGGTGGCAGGAAAATAATCCTATGAGAAAATGATTCCACAACCTCTTTAACTTCAGCAATTTTATGGATCCTGGCATTTTCCATAACTAGAAATGCATTACATAATGAAAGCTCATCAAGTTTTGTAGACAGCTTACGTAAAAAATTGCAAAAAAGTGAGCTGTTATCGGTTATCATTTTTCAAATATATATTTATAGTTTTTGATGAAATAATTTTACTTTTTTAAGTTTAAATAAAAGTTTTCACAACTTCTAGCTCGTATTTATTTTCTCCTTGACTATAAAATCCCGAAAAGTACGAATATTAAATTAGTTGAGATGATTATTAAATTGAATGAATTTATTATAAAATGGTTGAAAAAATTATTGATTTGTCCATATTTGTTTAGTGGCCGCCATATTTGACCATATTAATTATTCCGATTAAAACCTTAGATGAAAAGAATAATTAATTGGAATTATTAATTTGACTGAAAAATGCTATACAATAAACTAAAAATACCATGGGCTCTGCCGAGATTCAAATACAAATGATATGAGTTGGACACCCTTACCACTCATAATTTTTATTATATGATGGTGTATTAAAAAATGTAATAAATGGGACTCATTTAAAAAAAAATCTAACTTCATTTTATTTAGCTTATAAAAATATATTATTTTTTTACATATTCTTCTGCCCTAGAAATACAATTTTCCTGTCAGATTGGGAGGTTTTTTAAATTCCATCATCATAAAAACTCTTGGGCCATTCCCAAAGTCAGTGGAGCCACAATTGCTTCCATTGCTTTGTTGCTGCGTCAAAATACTGGCCTCCAAGTGCTTCCAAAAAGTTGCAATTCTCAAGTTGAGAAGTCTGGACTATAGGGTGGAATTTTTTCATTTTGAAAAAATTGTGTATAATTAATTGAGTGTTGAAGTTTTGAATTAATTGAGTAATTGATTTATAGGTTGGATATTCTAACGTTGCCCATCATATTGCATCCAATTTTTTCTGTATGAGACCTGGCATTGTCATGCAGAAGAATGACAATTCTGGCCAATTGCTTTATACTTTTCCTTCGAAATGATAATTTTGCAGCATTCCATAATTATTCACAAGAACTTTGTTCATTAATTTTACGTCGATTATGGAGAACGTGAAAAGCTGCCTCAATGTTGGTCTCGTTCTCACTTGGTCGGAGTTCATGGCTCTCTTTCTCAACCTATTTATGCCCTTCAGAAAATTTTTTGTGCCAAGCAGACCCGGGTCCGTAATTGTATGACAATGTAACTCAACATTCCGCCATCAGCCCTTTCACACTGCACATTCATGCTAATAAATACATTCACTATCAACACACACTAGAAGACACAAAACAATACATGTATCAGTTCTATATCTAATAAAACAACCCTGTTTCGTTCAAAAATCAGAACAGGGACACAAAATGCTGCTGTCAATTTCCATATCAGTTGGTATTCCTACTTACTGTCTATATGGAGCCAAGGCATGACACTGTTCAATTAAATGAGTAGCCTTTCTTTACTTGCTGGAAACTTGCGGGCTTTGGCCCAAAAGTGTCTTTGTGTCAACTTTACATCCTATCCTCAATCAGGTGAGGATGACCTAAGAGTCAGATTCAACAAGGGCCACCAATTTGACTATAAAATCCCAAAAAGTACGACAGTGCACTTAATACGTTTGAGATTGTGGAATAAGGAATAAGTTTTAAAAATTAAGATAACATAATTAGAACTATTATAAAAGTTTATCCCCTATTCTGGAGCTTTCTCCCCTTTTTATTGTTTCTTAGGATTTCTTTTTCTTACCTTCAAGAATTGTCAATTTAATTTGACACAGGAGAAATTAAACTTGCCTAATACAGCTTTTGTTGTGTAAGGAGGACAATTTTAAATGAATGATACAACTTGAAAAAATTTATCTTGAAGCGACCGTTTAGGATGGGTTTGCAATAAAAGTCCTCATTATTACCAAACCTTTAAACTTTATTTTAATTGGCAAATTATATATTGCAAAGGAAAAACAAATGTAATTACAAGGCATATGCGAAGCTTACTCGGAGCTGGCAGGGAAGTGAATCACCCCGAGCAGCTTGATAAAACACAAACTGCATCGTTGCTTGCATGTTCATAAAAACCAAGTGATTGCAGCTGAGTTGAAGACTAACCCGATGGAAACTTTAAGCTATTAACTTTTATTTATCCTTCCACTAGTAAATGTTCACTTCTAATTGTTTACTTATTTAAAATTTCTTTAAGTTTTTTATTTTTGTCTTATTTTATAATGTGCATCACGAGTAGGTATAGTAATGTCATCTTTTTTGTAAAATTTTTTGTTTGTTTAAAAATTTATAAACCTTCATTCTCCTCAACTCTATATAAGTGAAAAAAATTTGTCTTCATTGACCTAGCTTTCTCACATAATTTCTTCCTTAATAAAACACTTGTAGCGCCGAAGATAAAAGAGATGTGTAGAAGAAGCCTTATCATATTTTGGAGTAGGTTGCCACGTCCTGCCCATCCTTTTGGTTTCATTTTGTTATTCAACGTTTGGCCGCTTTATGATGTCCATTTATCACGACCGACACTGTGCCTTCAGGACACCGCAAAAACTACAAAAAAACACTTGAGTTTTCCCGCAGAAACACAGAGGAAGGACTATAAAAGTGGTGGTCATATAAACAAGCCACACCCTTATTGGAAATTATTGTACCGGCAACTATTTTATATCTTGAAGCATAAATGCTACAGTCATTTGTACAAAGCATGTAGGCGTACATTACAATTGTACAATATAACCCGTATGTACATACATACGTTTATATATATAATATATATATTTAACAATAATTTTGTTTATATATCTAAAACTTTAATAAAGCTTTTCAGATAAAAAATTATGAGATTCAACAATTGGTATGAAAAAAGGGATAAGCGGGATCGAGTATTTCAAAAACTGGACAATGTGAAAGCCCTCAATGTGAAACCCGAAAGTATTGAGTGCCACAGTTAACACTTTGAGTCTGTAACATCTTGTGGCGACTCTAGGGATGGGGGACGTGGCCTGGCTCAGACATCAGCTAACCTTGAGGTTGTAGACGGAGATCTTGAGTGGATCACAACTTTATGACCGTTCTTTTCAACAAGAACGGCTGTTTCTCTTGCATCGGGTGAACCCGGGCTGTCAGGTCCGCCTCCTTGCCTCTGCTGTTTGTGCTTCCTCCATGCGTTCTGTATCAGTCTTGCACAGTATTCTTCTCTCTGTCTCCATAAAGTGGTCGAAACCGGCTCGTATCCTATTTCGTCGGGCCTTCCTGGTGCGACTTCACCCAACTCTGCCGACTCGTCGATAGGATTCCCTTTCCTGGCAAAGAAGTCTTTGGTCAGCGCGTCTAAAATGTCCACGCAGAACATCAAGTCTCCTTTGCAAATAGGAATGTCCATGGAGACGATCTTGTATTTATTCGGTTTATGAATTTGCAGTGGAGGTTCGAGTACATCGAGGAAATCTGATAGCTGGTCGTAACGGATGTACTGTGTCCCGTCGGGATCGAATTGCTGCCAAATTTCGTAGTACATGTCGTAGTCATCATCTGTAAGGCCTTCTTGGACGTCTTCAGTTGCCTGAGAATAATTCTCTAAGATGACAGCAATGTACATGTTGATTACAATGAGAAAACTTATGACTAAATAGGAGAGGAGGAATGTGATTCCTATAGTCGATGAACCGCAATCCCCTGGTGATCCCATTTCTGGGTTTGGCTTGTCACATTTTTCTTCATTGATTATTCCATCCAGTACTCCATCCCAACCAGCAGAAGTAGACATCTAAATGACAAGAAAATTTTATTTAATCAAAAAATTTAATAAACAGAAAAGTTACTATAGTTTAATCTCTCGATGATGTTAGGTTAAGTTAAAAAATTTAACTTTTTATATTTTATAACAAACAAGGTTCAAAATACTCTGGTGTGCATTTAATTTTTCTAATTCAACCAAACAAGTGGATTTCAAATCTTTCTCATTGAGAGATACTAAGTTTACTGATATACAAATTACCTGGAATAGCAGAATCATGGATTGACCGAATGTTTTAAAATTATATACATCATCGAGACCACTTTTGTCCTTGACATGCATGAAAAATGACATGCCGAATATAGCAAAAATGAACATAACGAGGAAGAGTAAAAGGCAAATGTTGAACAGTGCAGGAAGTGACATGGCTAAGGCAAAAAGAAGTGTCCTTATGCCTTTGGCCCCTTTAACAAGTCGAAGGACTCGCCCGACTTTTGCCACTCTAACCACTCTAAGTAATGTTGGTGATACAAAATATTTTTCTATAATATCACTTAAAACCAAACCTATAAAAACAAAAAAAACATTAGTAAAGGCACTAATGAAAATTGATTAAATTAAATTTTACCTAAAATTGAAAGTAGAACGACCACAAAATCAAAGAGGTTCCAGGGCTCTTTGAAATAGTGGTATCTCAATGCAAATATTTTCAATAAACATTCACTCGAGAAAATTACAATGAATATCATGTTAAGAATATCTAATACAAAACTAAACATTTCAGTCTGTTGGTAATGATCCATTGTCATAGTAAGCATGTTAAAACCGATAAATAACATAATAATCATGTCGAACTTTTTGTCTGTCACTATTTCAAACACAATTGCTTGTGGCCTCCACTGAAAATGTTAAGGATGAATTAATTGAACGTTTGATAAAGCTTGAGTTTTCATTCTAGCCAATATTGGCGTACCCGTGGTCGTGGAATAGCTTTGAGTGGTTTCTTAGATCCCATTTTCTTCATGGCATTGTAATATTTCTTCTGGTCCTCTGTCATGAACATTTCCAGAGACCCTCCTGCGTAAACACACAATACATCTGTTATTTATAAAGTTCAAAAGACTAACAAACTATTTTATAAAAGCTATTTCGTAGAATAAGAAAAATCTTTACAAGAAATCTTTAAGCAAAAATATTTAATTTCAAAAGCATCGAGATTATTATTTTGTATAATATACGCTAAAATCATTTATACATAAATACTTATCTTTTTCTTTTGTTCATTGAAATTATCAATGATCACACCAATGAATAGATTGAGTGTGAAAAATGAGCCAAAAATTATAAAAAATACAAAATAGAGATACATATAAATATTTGTTTCTCTAATTGGCTGTTTTCCAATCTGGAAAAAAGAATAAATTGAATTAAACCTGCTGTGAAAAAAGTAGTTAAAATAAAAAAAAGAAGAAAAACTACCTCTCTAGAGTCAATAGCATCGTTCATGATTGGAATCCATCCTTTGAATGTTGCAACTTGAAACAAACACAAATACGCTTTTCCTACATGGTCAAAATTCATAGGCGAATTAAGCCAAGTGTAATTTTCTGCCTCGCAGACATTTTTATCGGGTATAATTTCATGGCTAAGTACGCTCCCATTCAAATCTGTACACTGAAAGTGAATAAATTTACAAGATATGCGTTAAAATGGATTTTTCTTTTTTTTAAATAATACACCCAGTATTATTGGTTTGTAAATTTACCTTATAGTATTTTCCAGCAAACAACTGGACTCCCATAATTGCAAATATAAGCCAAAATATGAGACACACCAAAAGTACATTAAAGATACTAGGAATAGCTTGTACTAAAGCATTAACCACAACCTACATATACACAAAGAAAAGTATTAATACACTTGTTTTTAAGATATTTACAAAAAAATTTAATAATACAAATAGAGAACTACTGTTTTCCTAAATATGAATGAAACTACTAGGAATGAGTTTAAATTTGTAAAAAAAGAGTCCAATAAAAAACACAATTTTGTAATTAAAATAGAAAGTGATATTATTTCATTATACATGTTGATGTTAGGCTTTTGTTGTAAAAAATATTTTAAGTTTTTATCTGGACTCTTAAAATTAATGAAATACTAAACTACAAAAGCCATTTAGTTGAAAAATTGATTTATACTAATTTTACTTTTCATAATCAATTTTACAAATTATAAATGAAATCGTGTCACAGCTGAAGGACGCAAAAGTTTTTACTTTGTTATTCTTCGAGTATTTTGTGTTCTTCAGCTATAACATGGCCCATAATTACACGAACACAATCCATTAAAAAAAAATATATATATATATATATTTACTTAAGAGTTCAGTAATTATGGTTCATATTTTCAATAATAAATGAGAATAAAACAAAGCGTGGTGCAAATCATGCTTAGCTTGAAAAAAAAAATAAAAAAATAAAAAATAACGAGCCAATCTCCAACAGAACAAAGTTGCATAAAATGTGTCAAATTGTGTGCCACACAAAAGCGAATAAGCTTAATGATCAAGTAATATACTACAGTATTGTTGTTGGTTAGGTGAGTCGGATTTTTTTTTAAACACTGGTTATTTTTCTTTTATTTTCTGTGTGGGGGGCGTTTCAAAAATCCATACTAATTGGATGACTTCGTTTTCAAAGCATGTGCACTACAGAATGTGGTAATGAGAAGTGAGGCATTGTTTTAAAATCCCAACTTGCCTATAAAGCACCCTTATAAAACAAAATAATACAATATGAAGTAAACTTAAAACAAAGGTGTATTATAAGGGTTTGTACTCGCATAATAAAATTTTTAACTGCATGTTTGTATTGGTTTTTTAAAAAAATACTAAAGCTACCACATTTCTATTTAATAAGCAACCATTTTACAGGTAATAAGTGTAAAATTAAGAAATCCATTTTTTTTAAATTTATTAAAAAGTTAAAGTGAAAATAGGGCTGGAATTGAAGTATTGTTGTGGAGGTTTTGTACTCCGTTGATTGTGGGTTAATTGTAAATTTGTAAACTAAGAATGCAAGATTCTTAAGTGTCCCCAAATTATGCAACAGTGTCAGATGAATCTGTGAAACTGATAAATTAAAAAATGGGTATCTAGAAAACTACTGATGGAATATTGAATTTATTTGTATTTAACTATGATTTTTGTTTGTGGGACATACCCTCATGCCTTGCATCCGGGACATTGCCCTAAGGGGACGCAAAGCGCGCAAGGTTCTCATAGTTTTGAACGCCTGAATACCTCCCGCCCCGAGCATTGATGCTGTGAAGTTTATAAGTGATACCTGGTGGCCAGAAACATAAAATACACTGTCGCGACAACACAAGATTACAATACATATGTAGCACACGTTTACATGTACACAAAAAAATAGAAAAATAAAAATGAGACATAGAAATACACAACAAGAGCTATCGGCTCAGACATTTTGTAGCTTTACCAAACTTGTGAGTTAAGACAGTGCTAAATTTCATCTTGTTCAAGAATAATTAAGATAGTTAAATAATCGGTGCTTAGAATTTGTAAATCTTTAAAAAAATGTATTTATAAGAGTAGAATCTTTTATCTTTTAAACCTGCATTACGTAAGCTCGTTTAAATAAAAATTTGCACACATAAAACTGTAAGCAACATTTACTGTCTTGCCGGCACAGGCAAATTTTATTCACAGACTCGATAAAGCTTTTATGAATGTTTTTTTTACAGTAAATAAATATTAAAAGACATTATTGATTTGATCAAATTTACAAACTTGAAATATCAAACTAATATATTTACTAAAAGAAAAAAATAATAAAAACAATAAAAAGTGTAAGATCAATTAGTTAATACAATACTGAAATATTGACTTAAAAGAAAACAACAATTATTATGCTTAACAAAATCACATTTACACAAATATATATATAAACATTTAAAGCACTGGCTTGATAATAGATAATTTTTTTTGTAATGGCTGTTATCATTTGCGTGAAAGCACACAATCTTGTGTACTTACACGCATGCCTTCCCAGCGCGACACTGCGCGCAAAGGCCTAAGAGCACGTAACGTTCTCATAGAACGAAAAGCAGGTATATCTGCTGCACCCGCCCATATAGCAACCAGGTTAATCAGCGACAGCTAAAATAAACCTCATCCATGTTGAATTTTTCAATTTGTTAATTTTATTTTTTGTATTGAACTATACTGAAACCTTCATGAAAACTCAGATCAGAGATGATTTTCATTATTTATCAAGTCAACTTTGCCGAAAGTTTCATTTATTGAATGTTATTTTTTGTATAATATACTGATTGAACTTTACTGTTTATTTATTGTAGATAAAAATTAAATGAAATTTTATATTATTTGAATGATAAATTCATTTTAGTCTGTAGAATATATTTTTATTGCCATGTGTTAATGCTATTTTTCTTGTTTTTACTTAATAGAAATGGTTTATCAAACTGTTCATCCAGTTAAACCCAAAGAATATAAATTAAAATTTAAAATTTTATTTAAAAGCTGCTGACATTTCTTTTAAGGAAGTTGCACGGAATGTATACAAAAATTTGCAGTGTTACAAATTGTTTAACAATTTAAGAAAAGTGTGTACTTCCTTGTAGAATGACAGTTTAACAAATGACTACCCTCTCTGATCTAATATTAGTAATAGTACATTGCTGGATCTTCTATTATAAAATGATATTTAAAAAAAATGATTAGTAAACAAATCATAATCAAACTGAAACATTATTACAAAAGATATAACAGTGATGGAAATCCAAACGAAATTTCTTACCATGACAATTATGAAATCCAGCCAGCACCATGCATTAGTAAAATATTTTTGAAAGCCTAAAGCCAACCATTTGATCAACATTTCAAGAAAGAATATTACAGTAAATATTCTGTCCATATAGTACAAGATATCCTGAAGTATGGGTCTCGACGGAAGATGAACATCTTCTAAAGCCTGAAAAAAAAAAAAAAAAATGATTGATTGGAACTTGAAAAATTTGTTCGATTTACTTACGAGTGCTAGACTACTGAGCAAAATCATTGTGATAACTGCTGTTTCAAAATATTTATTTTCAATGAGCTGAAAGGTCTTGAGCCTAAGGTTCGCCCAACCTTGCCAGAACGGTGCGTCATCATCCCCTGCCAGAAAGGGGAATCTTTTATAACAGTGATCAGGACAACAGTCAGAAGGGTATTCTGGCAAAACAACGTCTTCCGTTCCTCCTTCTATTATTATGTCCTCTTCTACAATATCTGAAATGATATAATAGTTTGATAAAAATTATTCATTGGGGTATTTCTTAAAATAATTTACCTGGTTCAAGATCCTCTTTGCTTAGGTCCTTCTTTTCTTCTTGATCGTCTAAACTCTCCATACTTCCTTTGTGACTTTCATCTTTACATGGTCTATGTTTATGACTCCCGTACGATTTATTGCTACAAAAATTAGACAGTACATAGCAAACAGTCGATCGTGTACATTATAAAAAACTACCTTATGGAGTCATCATCATAGTGGTTTCTTATATAATCCGAATCCAGCCTGTTATCCTGATGATTTCCTATGGAGTTCCCAATGTGGTTTTTAACTTTATTCAGCTTACTCTTCAAGTCTCCTTAGATGGAAACAAAAGAGAAAACAAAACGAAGGGGAATGTCCCCATCAAGCCAGATGATATTCAACATCAAACATTTAATCTAACTACTCGTGCAAATCACTTCTTTAATAAAAAAAAACTCAACCAAACTCATGCTATTAATTCACTATAAAGTTTTTTTTTTGTTTTTTTGAATAAAAAACCTGATTCTCACCATGTATTGTAAACTCCATTCCATCACCTATTGCTACTTCCAACTGATCTTTTTTATCTCTATAGACCATTCCATCTGCTCTTATTTCATCAGGGCCCAACTCATCCATGTCTCTGTCTCTTCCAACTGTGAAAATAATTTTCTGTTCTAACACCAAACAGCAAATTTTATTTACACTACTTAAACATAACATTCATTATAATTAGATTCAATCTAAAGGCCAAATTATGCAATCGACAAATTGTACAAACGTAGAATATTTTTCAAACTAAAATTGCTGGTTTATCCCCAAAAAAATTAAACTTTATTCATGTAGTTTAAAACTAAACATCTAAAATATAAATAAAGATCTTGATATCAAATGAGCATACAAACTAAAATTTATACAATTAAAATAAATGTTTATCTAACGGTTTTACATAATTGTTTTTGGCTTGAGGACAATATAATTAAACAAAAGAATACAAACTAATACAATAAATAAATCATTATTGTTAATAACAATTGATTAAACAAAAACAGAGCTTTGTACATCATACAAACGTTTTAATTAGTAAAAACGGTACATTAAGTTCATTTTTTTATGATTAAATTCCAACATAAATTTATTTCAAGATTTAATTGCAATTTAAGGTGATCAGTGACTGTAGCAATTGTGTGTAATGTCTGTAACTATGTGTACCAATATATTATATATTGATAATGTACATGCAAGCTGAGAAGCACTCAAACAAAGCACTCACGAGTTGCCTGAATGTGCAAGTTGTAAGCAGGTGATGGTCTATTCTGGAGAAGAATTCTCCTTCAAAAGACTTTCTAGAAACCATAATTTTAAAATTCTATTCATTTAATTTGTTTAAAATTTAACTAGTTTACATTGTAAATGATAATGCTGATGTTTTACATTGATGTGAAGCAAATATAAACTTAAAAAACAACATAAAAAAAGTTATTGTTTAAAAATACCAAGGAAAAAAGGAAACATATCAGCAAAGAATAAAACATTAACTAAAAAGTTAGCATACTTTATATATACAGTTTATACCATAAAATGGTTTTATTTGTAAAATAAAGATTTGTAAAAAATAAAATGAAAAAAATTAAGTATATTGTTGGATTTTACTATTTCTAGTAAAGAACAAGAATTAATTCATACTAAAATTAAGAAGGAAGGGCGTCGGTGGCCACAACGGTTTCAATGTTGACTTGGCACTCATCAAGGAAAAGGTCCTGAGTTTGAACGCAGGGCCGCTGGATTTAACTCTGGACTTTTTCCTTACAGTGATGAGTGCCGTGTCAACGCCTAAATCTTTGCGGCCACCGGCACCCCACAAGAACTATTAAAAGTAGTTTTATGATTAAAAAAAAATATATATAAAAAATAAATAATTAAAACATTTTTTTTACTGCTTATTTTAATAGTTGATTATCATAGAAATATTTGTTTTGGACATTTTATTATGTACTTTTTGTTTCTTTATGTCTGCCCCTGTGAAAAATATTTGGGAATGGATCTTAAACGGGGCACCCAGTATACTAAACCATCAAGACCTGTGAGTATTACAGAACTGTTGGTCTCGTCCCCCTTCGGAAAGGCCTACATGTAACGTTACATCACTTAATGCAACGTAATTCAGTTAATAAAATTGTTTACATTAAAAGTAATAAAAAAAAGTATAACAGGAGGAAACTTAAAGTTAAGGATAAATACGAAATCAAAATAAAACGGACTTTTTATATTCGTTTTCATTTAATTTCTTCCATTGACTACAAATCTTTCCAATTTACTTATTTTTTTGTCTGTTGTTCTTTTATGGGAGTAACAATAAATTTAGTCGTTGTAGGGGCATTTTCTCAGATATCAACCTCATAATTTGTGGTATGTGTTTCTTTAAGGGTGATTATCATATTTATAAAATAAAAATAAAAAATATCTGGGAATGGATCTTAAACGGGGCACTCAGTATACTAAACCATCAAGACCTTTGAGTATTGCAGAACTGTTGGTCTTGCCCCATTCGAAAAGGCCTACAAGCAACTTTACATCATTTAATCCACCATAATTCAGTTAATAAGTTATTTGTTATGTATTATATGTACATTTATTAAAAATAATCAAAACAATTAAAATAGAGCAGAGGGAAACTTAAAATTAAGGATAAAGGTCCCAGATTTGAATACAGCGGCCCTGCATTCAAACCCAATGCACATACAAATGTTTTTTTATTTTTTAAATTTTTTAATTAATTAATTTTTTTAAATTTTTTTTTTAACAATTGCACCCTGAGTGTTGAAAGGACCTCTGCGTGGAAAAAAAATTCATATTTGGCAATACTTCGAGTATCGGTTTGCAATTCTTAAATATATGAACATAAAATCATTATGTTGTTTCTGATAAAAAAAAGTTCAACATTTAGTTTAACAAAGAGCATTTTTATCCTTTTTATGATATAAAACAATTTTTATGAATCGCAATGAAAAATAATTGCAGTAAGATAAAACGCATGCGAGCAGAAAAGGATAGATCTAGGATAAAGATGAATGAAGGAGCATAAGAGAATAACAATTAATTAACTAAAACTTTTAACAAGCTTCTAAAATTTAATAAGTCAAATAATATTATGGAAGCTCAATTGTCCATATCTTCGGTTTTTCTAATTTTTTAAAAAGCTTAAATATTTCCTGTTTCTTTTTTAATTTGTATCTCACTGTTTATTTTAACTATAAAAGAAATTTTAGTGTTATTGTTAAAAACAGAATAAATTATTGTACAGTTAAATGTTGTCTGGTGTTTCATAGATTTTGAATTTTTTTACATTGTTTTATTCAAGATGCAAATAATAATTTTGTTTTTTTAATACAAAGAATAAACTTTGTCAGTATTCTGAAGTTGATTAAAGTTTGTAAAGTTATTATTTAATAAATGGTTGGATTTGAAGTGATGATCATGCATTTGTCTACAAGTTAGTGAGCTACACACTAAAATTTTGTGTCTGGGTTCATGGGGGATGGATTCAAACTTAGTTTCCAAACATGTCTGTTGTGGTTTATTTTATATTCAGGGTATAGGACAAACGGTATATTTTAGCAGTGCAATCTTGCTGAGGTCTTTCACACATTACACGTAAGCATCGTTCAAATTTTTTATAAACCTTAACTGTTATATGAAGGCGTGTTACAAAATTTAACTTACAAGCGTTAACTGTAAAATGTGAATGACCTAAGTTACACTACTGTTTACAATTATAACCGAGATATGAACCTTGTTTCCAGCTGGATGCCGGCGCCTCACCTTGTGTCTGATCAGAGATCTGGTTTGTCAGCTTTGCTCTAATAGCTTTGGCACCCATCATTATATTTCTTTTCACCCAGTTTGAAAACCTGCCTATTCTGTCGAAAGCCTCAGCTATTTTATTGGTGTCGCTATCAGCTGTCGGAGCTGAAAGACTCGACGAGCCAAAATTACTGAGCAACAGGGCTAAGAAAAGGTTGAGAACCTAAAAAATATCCAAAACAGTTAAACCCAAAAAAGGTTAAATAAAACAACTGATTTTTAATTAGTAAAAAATGCACTTACAACCAGATTCCCAATTACTACTGTCGCTAGAAAAAATGGAATGCAAGAAACATCTCCCACATGCATACAATCCCACATCGATTCTATCCACTCTCCACACAGGACCCTAAACACTATCATAAACGAATGCATGAAATCTGTAAAATTCCACCTCGGGAGTTCGCCATCAGGGAATCTATCCATATTATCTAGAATATAAATCAATTTGTACACATGTCAAAAATTAGACAATTCATTCAAAAAATTACCGATATAGTTCTTTCCAAACAACTGCATTCCCATCACAGCAAAGATGAAAATAATAATGCACAACACAAAAGTTAAATTACCAAGGGCACCCACTGTTCTGCCCATAATGGAAATGAGAAGATTGAGTGTTGGCCATGACTTAGCCAGCTTAAACACCCTGAGCTGAAATTATTATTAGTTTATTAGTTATTAGTAAGAAGGTAAGTTGGATTAATTTTCAGTTAATAAACATACCAATCTGAATGACCTCAAAACTGATAGACCTTGAATTCCTTCAAGACTAAGTTCTAATAACGATAGAGCGACTATGATAAAATCAAATATATTCCAGCCTTCTTGAAAGTAATATTTTGGACTCATTGCTATCAACTTCATGGCAGCTTCAATTCCGAATGTTGCACTAAAAAACTAAATATACAAGAATAATATTAAAATTCAAATATCGAGATAAAAATACATATTAAAAATTGTAACTTACATAATTCCCGCTCTTGAGTGCTTTTTCTAACTCCTTGTCCATGTCGTGGTGATCTAAGGCCATGAAGAGCGTGTTGACGACAATGCAGAGGGTGATGAATAGTTCTACGAATGGGTCAAATACTATAAATGCAACTAGCTTTTGGAATTTGAGCCAGACTCCGCAGCAGTCCCATACACAGAAGATGTCGATCCCTTGAAGTAGGCACGCCCAGAGTTTATCCTTGATCGTCGGCTCATCCTCGTCTTCTTCTGTCGGGAAATAGTAGACGACTGTACCGGGGGTGTGGGTACACTATTAGTTTCATTCATTCAAATGGAAGACAAATTATAATATTCAGCTTACTCTTAGAAAATGACAATATCTTATTTATTTTCTGTCGCTTTTTTTTAATGTATATCATATTGAAGTGCACAATCTCACCTTTTTTAAGGAGTGACCATATTATGAGTGCAATTGGTGAACCATGTTTAAAAATGTAAGAATGAATGTCGCTATCGTGTAGCTGATTGTGCATACATCACTAATATAGTGATTTTTTAAAAATTAGCTTTTCTCTTTTTATTAGACTTAAAAAAAAGATTTTCAAATATAATAATTTATTTGAATAAATTATTGTACATTGAAATCATGTGCTATAAGCAACGGTAAAAAGATTTTTGAGAGGATATTAAATTCAATTAAACTATCTACGAAAAGCTGCATTCTCTCCTACATCCATAAACCCATTGTGCAATTTCGTAAGGACTATCAATAAAAATTGTGTATAATTAAATTATTTACCTTTTTTTAATATATTATCATTATATATCAAATATTTAAAAATCGTACTCATTTTCTTAAAAAAAAAAAAAAAATTATGGTAGTGAGCTTAAGTTTATTTATATGTACACTTAGTAATAACAATATAATCATTTTAAAGAATAAAAAATGAAATAATCAATGCAAAAGTTATGTAATTACAATATCAAAATAAAATGATATCATTGTTTTATTTTACTTACTTTTACTTTGTGTTGATGAATAAAAAGCAACAAGGGTTGGTGAAAGTTTCTACCAAAAAAATCTATTTTTACAGCACAATGTTTTTAATAAAACTAAATTTGTGGCAAAACTGAAGTTCGTATTGTGGTCACACTGCATGACAAAACAATCGCTAATATTAACTTTAATTGAGCAAAAAATATAAGCAAACGAGTAAATAAAATAATTGAATAATTTTTAATGTAGGTGAAAGAATTGTTTTGGTTTTTTGGTGAGTAAAGTGTTTTGACCAGATAAAGTAACAGCTTAAATTTACAATAATATTACTACATAAATATATGAAATATATGCATCTCGAAGTATAAATTTATTCAGATTTTATTGAAAATTGAATTTAAATGGTTTAAAAAAAGATTACACACAGATTAAATTAACCGTGTCCAAAACATTCAAAAGGCAGTGATGTGCAAAGCTGTGTAGCTAATGATTTATGTTTAATTATATTGTATATGGTGTGTAATTAATAGTTTCTGTCTGAATAAACAGAAAAAAATTATCATAATGATTTTTCCAAGATATTCCAAATGCAATATTGTAAAATTTTTTAATTAGTGTGGAAAGTATGGTTGAATTGAAAAATTAGTCATGAGAACTTTTACTACTTGAGCTATTGCGACTTGTGTCCTTGAGACACCAACTAATCATTTCAACCTACAGTGATGTCCACATGGTACTGATCCGGTAGTCGTGGGTCTTGACACTATTTTTTCAACTCAACTATATTTTGTATAATAATTAAAAAGTAATTAGTTGGGTTAATTGGACCAACTAAAAACACATAATAGATTGTAAAAACATTTGAAACACTTTTACTATGTTTACATGTTACCTTTACCAACCTTTGTACAATCTAATATTACCAAAAACATAATTTTAAATATTGTGTATTTAACTAGTTCACCATTATTCACACTTAAAAGTAAAAAACAAACTAACTACCTAGAATAAAATAAAGGGAAAGCACATAATACCAAGGAGCCAACTTTTAAGAACACAAATAATAAATAGAATTATTTCTAAAGTGAAAAAAAGAAAACACTTGTACTAATTCTTTTTTATAGCAACATTTAAGATGTACATACTTCTGAATGTTTTTTTGTCTGCAAAGCAAGTAACATGTGCAAAAATGAACACATTTAATTAAAGAAGAAAATAATCTTTATTTGCTTGTTTTTTGTTCTTCTAAAGCATTAATTTAAAAATTTGATAATCTATAAAAAATAAAAAAATAATAACAAATAACTAATGGCTTGAAAAGTCTCTAAGAAAGGATGATGTTATGAATCGACATGCAATTAATACTTTTCCATGCACTGAGCAAGCTGAATAATATTTTGTCATACCATCTCGTCTTGCATTCATTCTATTTAATCCATGTTTCTCCTCGTTTTACTTATGTAATTTTAAATCAAAACATTAAGCGAAAAAAAATGCAGACTGAACTCCTACTTTGATTCAATCTAAAAGTGTATCCTCAAATTCCCTCCTTATAGACATAAATTATAAACAAATGATAGTTCTAATAATCGGCTGTAGTGTTCATCTAACTATAGCAAATGGGAATTTACAAGAATTCAATATGAAATACTTCTGAATATTTAAAAAACATATTATGTACACTTTTTTTTAAGGAGAACTTACTGAAATTGCGATTCACATGGTTAGTTGACATGCGAAGACAAATACTATATAACAACACATAGTCACACATTAAATAAACTAACATTTATATACATAACTAGGCAAATAATACTTCATTTCATGGATGAAGCATTAAACTATGCAAATAATAAACTTCATCCATGTAATGTACACCAAAACACCATGCAAGGTTAGTTAAAAAAAAAGACAAGAACATCATAGTAATACTAATGCCGCATACACTGGGCACTCTGATAATACTTAGATCATAAAGTCCCTAAGCATGTTTGATCAAGCAATATATACAATATACATATAAATTTGATAATTGCGCTACTTAATATCCACTTAACAACACCAACTTTTTTTAAAAAAAATTTTCAATGTTAGTATAATCTAAAACTAAATAACAATAGGGTTTTATTAAGTTTAACATTTATAGTATCTTACCTGCTTGGTCACCACTATTTCTACTATGCCTTCCAGCTGCCTGCTCGATGATATCATTGAGCACCATAACGTCTAAAAAATATATTATTAAAATTGTGCACATTTTAACAATGCAGTAAATTATTTACCTTTCATATCTACTACTGTTTGTTGTTGAGCTGGTTCTATAAATGGATTGTCTTGGTTTTTGCTCTTTGGAGGACCGTCTTCTATGTCTGATGTATCCTAGAAAGTATTTACAAAAAAGATTATACCTCTCACTCACAATTTAACCGTTAAATATAATTACAATTTGAAACAAAGTTTTATTTCGCTGTAAAATGTAATTTTAAAAGGAAGAAAGTATGACAAGCTCACACTTAACGAGCAGTGAAGAAAATGTGTTAAAGCACAACACTGAAAAATATGTATATGAAGAGCAAAATTCTGACAAAAGTACAATCCTGTGATGAGTGTTACACAGAATTATTGAAAATGACATCAATTCAAGTGGTAAAAAGTGTGCAAAGCTGAAGTAAAGAGCTTTTGATAAGTATTGAATGATGATTATGATATACAGCTTAAAGTAACTTTTTTTACTTTCTTAATTCCATATAGTAATGGTGCAAGAATGTTGTGCTAAAACCTAAGATACGCGAATATATTAAAATATAAACCTTATATTTTATTATTAAATCCCTTAAACTCTAACCACTGCCTTAGAGAGCAAGTTTTATTTGAAATATTTTCTAAAAGTTGTTCCTCATTACATCTATTACAAAATTTTTTGGGATATACTTACAAAATCTCTAGGATAATGTTTATCCGGTATAGGTTGGTGTGTGACAGTGGTTGAGCTGTTTCGAGAAGATCGAGACCTAAGTTTACTTTCTTTTGTCGGTGCTCTCGCACCACCGATCCCCGAAAGAAGATCACCATGGGACGTATAACTGAGTCTCGAGGCATGTGATGTATAAGATGAATGCCTTGAGCCAAGCCCAGTTGTATACAAAGGCACTACCATCGCACCGTTTTCTTCACTCATTGGTGTTACAGCATTAGAATCGTCTGCGTAAGGCAAATGCTCCTGGACACAACCGATATCACTTAAACACACTGATTCACAGTAATTTATGGATATATTTTTTTTCTAAATTGATTTCTTTGACCAGGGGGTTTGTACAAAAGAGACGTCTTGCTACTTAAAATCATGAAATTTCTAATAAGATGCTTTAAATCTTGCAAGCGATATTATTGCTAAAACAGTTCATCTTACTTTCAAAGTTAATTTATTTAACAAAAAATCTGTTTTGTTTAATTTAAATAAGTCAATTCTAGTGCAAAATTTAATGGTTCTAGATATCTAAAATTCCCATTTACATTTTAATTTCAGTGGAAGAATTTATTATTTATTTACTATATTTTTCTTTTACATATATTAATAATTATTTATCAAGTTGATAAAATTATTGTTGATCACGTCTTTATTTATTTATTAAAAACAATATATAAATCCAAAATCTGTCATCGAAAATACAATTCTTGTATGACCCAATATTATTTAATTCATAGCAATTTCTCCTAAAATTGAGCAAGTTGGTAGGAAAAGGAGAAGAACCGTTAAACCTCTGGGACTACAGATCAAAGAACGTTTTTCATCAAATCGATTAACGCTGTATATTTGGTAAATCATTAAAATGGCAGATAATTAGGCTAATAGGGTTGCACCCCTCGTCATTTTTAAATTGAAATGTCACCACAAAGAAAGGGTTGTATTTATGGATGATGGATGATGAGCTGGTACCGGCCAAAAAACAGTATATTAACTTCACTCGTGAGATAAATTTTAAATAGATTTCAGTTGAATCTGTCAAGTATGTTAATAATTTTCGTATTATTTGTAGCTTAGTTTTACAAAATAGAAGTAACAAAGAAATTTAGGTAAAACCTTTAATGTTGGATAGTTATTAATTATAAATAACCAATATAAATAAGTAAATAGTCTATTTATTAAACAATAAAATGTTTCCCCAACTGATTCTGATGCTTTTAATCATAAGAAAAATAATTCATTTTGCGATTTCAGTGCTTTTATTTTTGAACAGTTTGTTTATAAAATTTTGAGCTTAAAAAAATGCACAGTTGCAATAATTTTTAAAACAAACTACTTGATCCTGTCACTGTTGAGATTTTAATTAAAAGATAATCCACTGTTTGTAATGTCAAATATTTACATAATATACTAAAGAAAATGATTGATTTTTATGTTAAGCTACCGTTATAAAAATGAGTGCAGTGAGGATAAAATGAAAGTTGGTGGATGAAACCGCACTTGGGCCGAAAAATTTGCACCAACGATAATATGGTATAAAGTGGAATAAAATGTTATACATACGTTGAAAAATAAATAATTAGCGTTTTATTATATAATAAAATATTACCTACGTGATTTTGACTGCTTTTAAATATAAATAAAAAAATTTCATTTTGCATTTTCAGAGCTTTTAGTTTGAAACAGTTACTTTATAAATATTGCAGCTTAGGAAAGAAAGCAAGTATTTTCAATAACTTTTAAAACAAACAAATTCATACAATAATGGTTGAGATTGTAATTAAAATATATCACCTTTTTTATAATATTAATTGCAAAATAAACTTTAGAAAATATAATAAAGCTACTGTTAAAAAAATTAGTACTCCGAGGATAAATTGGAAGCCGGTGGATTAAACGCATTTGGACAGAAAAATTTGCACAAAGGATTATGGGGTATTACAGAGGAATAAAGTATTATAAACTTACTTATTTCATTGTGCATAATTACAGTCTAAAGATCGAAAGTTGATATACCAGTCTTGTTCCAATTTTGTTTAAAAATAGTTTTAATGTATTTGTGGAATTTTTCTTTGAGTACTTTTTTTGATATTAACATCTTGACTAAATAAATAACACTTTTTTTATAGCTATATTATGCTAATGAGTGCTGACAGCTTAGATTTCTATATAAAAAATACTTAATAAGTGCAAAATACAAAACAAAAAATGAACTAATAAAAGATTATCACTCAAGGAAAAAGTTATCTTGAAGAATATTATTATTATAGAATAAACAGAGTACAGTTCAGTAATTGCAAATCTTTTAATTGTGACACTACTCTCGTTTTCAAAATTAAAACTAACTTATTGCCACAACAATCTGATAGAATTGAGATAGAGAACAAATAATGATAACAAGTCAGTGTTTGGAAAATATGATAGAAAAAATATTCAAGCTAAGGTTCAGATTCGTCATGCCTGAAATCCACAGAAAATATAGCTCACATCTAAACAACAGTCAAAAAGGTTCAAATAAGTTGAGAATGTGTGAAATTCACCCAACATCAAAAAGAAAATATATTTGGAATATGTACTTATGGAATATGTAAGTATTAATATACTTGTAAATGTTCATTTTCAAAAATATATAAAATAAATAAATAAAAATTGTATCTATATAATCAATGTTAACAAATTCTAACTATTCTGATAAAAACACAAGTTTTTTAAGCATCAAGAGTGCAACCCATATATCTGCCAAGACAAACAGCAAAATAAGTGATCTAGATGAAGCAAAAGCCAACATTGGAAACATGTAATAAAAACTAAAAAAAAAACAAAAAAAACTTAATGTGAGAATTAAGCATGGGCAGTCTATAACACAAAAAAGAAAATTTAACCATCAAATATTAGAAGTATAACTTCGTTGTTACTTGTCATTTTATAATTTTATCAAGGTGTGCAAAGCGTAATAAATTGCTTACTTTGCTATAAATATTTTTTTTTAAATAAGTGTCTTGTAATGTAAAAAAATGATGTTTTTAAAATTATTGTTATAAATGATGTCATATTTGACAAGTTCAATTTGTCTCATGAAAATTTCTGAAAGGTTTGGAGGGGTGCACATTATATATTAAAAAAAAATCAATTAGAACTTGGATAATTATAAAATAATGTATGGAATTTTGTTAATTAGTAGCTAATTAATATTTAAAAAATCTCGTAACAAAGATTTTTTTTTAAATATGAAAGAATTGTTTTTTTAAAAACTGTTTTTTTTTTTTCAGTTCAATTACAAATTATAATTCTTTTTTTTTGCTCTTGTTAGTAGTATTTTAAAAAAATGTGTCCTAATAAAAAGTACACAACATGAACATGAATGATATATGTAATGATGCTTAGCATTTAAATCAATATGAAGAAAAAAAGTTTAAAATTATTAAAATGCTGTCCCAATTTGTAGAAAAAAAATCATTATTATTAATTACTTTATATTAATCACACAAAATGTAAAAAACTATATATAAACACTACGTTCAAAATGGAAATATGGAGAAAAAAGTTAAGCATGCATGATTTTAGTCATAAAACTATGATTATGTAATCAAAATATAAAACAAAAGATTCGATAAAACTTGGCAAAAATCAAAAACGATTCTGAACAAAACCTAATTAGGAAGAAAAAACCTCTGCCTTATTATTATTTATTGAGGTATAATAAATGAAGGGAACCTGTGGTGACAGTTTGTATGTGAAAATATTTATAGTGGTGATTATAAACTATTATAAATCCAAATCTAACTTATTTAGTGAACATATTTAATAATTTTTTACAACTGAACATATTTATGAGACACACTAATTGTTAATTATGAATACCACGGGGAATTTGAATGACACAACAACAAAATAGTACCAGAATGTTAAATTCCTTTGTTCCTATGCATTAGTTTTGAAAAAGACCCAAACTATTAAAGTTAAAGTATATGAACTGTGTTGTGTGATCTTTTAAGACAATAGGCAATTTAAGAAATCAAGTCCCGTTAGTACAAAAAACCCGTAATGCTGGTACTTTCAATTTAAAGGGGTTTTGTGTAGAAAAAGCGACCACGACAGTACCTGTGCATCCAGGTAAGTGGAGAGAACGAGTGGTTTCCTGTCCCCTCCTGCAAATCTCGATCTGCCGTTTCGTATCGTAAACTGGTGAGATCCCCTCGACCCACGGCGAAGGTTGAATGGGGAGCCAGGCAAGCTTAGGCTGGCCTGCAACATCCACCCCCCGAAAAAAAATTATTATGTATCCCTAATTTCTGTGTTATACCCTACCTAATTAAAAAAATCCCAATAATTGAGGGTTTAGCTTTGAGATTTATCCTAGTTTTTGTTATTTGTTTCTAATATGAACTATGATGGGATGTGAAATTACAAAAGCGACTGTTTCAATTTTCACTTAAAATTGAGAAATGACTTGTGAAATGAGAAACTTTCATGAATTCAACTGCTAATCGAGTATAGCCAAAACTGAATGTTATGGTAATTTAGCAGTGCACAGAGAGTGTAAAACGGAATGAAATAATAAGCAATTTAAATAGTTCAATCTGACACATAATTTGTGCAGTTTAATATCGCCTAAGTGACCCATTAAAATGTAAATATTGCCCAAGTTGGGCCTTGTAAATAAATCATTTGGACATAAATTTCAAATATCTAAGATGGTATTTATTCAAATATGTGTGTGCATTGATTTTTTAATACAATTTATTACATGTACACACCAGATTGTTAAAATTCAATAATCTATAACCACATATTCCAAATAATATTATAAAAAAACAACTTAATGGAACAATAGTTGGCTAAGTTTTTTTTCTTGTTTTTTTTTTTTTTTAATTTTTTTTTTAAATTTTCTTGGCCATTGCCAGTTGATGAATGATTGTAAATAATGGTGCATAGAGCCTAGTACACTGAAACACAACAATAAAGCAGTGAAATATTCAAATATAGAGCACATTGATTGCATGCATTTCCACAAAAACCAAATCAATAAATCAACAAAAAGTTTTGCTAAAACTAATAATAATAATAATATAAACTTTAAAAAATAATAAAAACAAAAAACAACTTTTACTTGGTATGATTGAAAAAATGGAAAAGAATGATTGATGATTATATGTATAATTAACTATCCAGCGGTCTTGCTAAGCATATGAATTTAATAAAAATAAATAATAGTCAGTTGATCTGATAATGAGTTGAAATTACAAACTGAATTTAGGATTTAATATTCAATTTTTTTGTCCAATATTTTTAATTTTTGGCAACTCATTTATTACAACAGCATAGTGTTAATTTCAATTGTATCAAACATACTAAGACAAAGTAATAAAAAATTAAGTAAATATGAATTATGGAAATTATTTTTTATTATATCGAAAAATAAATAATTTGAAAATCAAGTATTATTATTAGTTTGAAAAGTTTAAAATGACTTGGAAAACAATTTTTATTTGTAAAGAAAACAAACAACAACATGCCATTTTTTCTTTTTTAATATTGGCAAAGTCCAAAAAAAGACACATATTTTCTAAAGGCAATCGATGGATGGGTAGCAACAACTTCAACAACAAATAGGTCATAACAAATGATTTTTTTTAAACAAGAGGGATGGGAAGACAAGGACCTACCTCAGTTTGATTGTCCTGGAAAGCAAAAGGAAAGTGGTTTTAATTTTGAGTTTGTTAGGGAAAAGTCAAGAAAGATTGAAAATAAAAATAAAAAGGTGAAAGGTAGATGTTAGAAGGCCATGGGATTTAAGAAGGTAGAAATAACGAGAAAAAAAGAAAATACAAAGCCTTTTAACTTACCACACTAATTTTTCGAGATTTGCTGCCTCCAGTTGTTGGACGACCCTGACTCAAAGAATCAGATCGTATACTCATTTTTTCCCTGTTGTTATCATCAATGTTTCCTTTTTCTTGACCTATGAACAACTCATAGCTGTGCGCAGAAAAGTCTGATGGAGATTTTGCCACTGATGCCCCGTCTGCCTCTGCTGCTGCTGCTGCAGCTGCAGCAGCCGCATTAGCTGCGGCAGCATGAGCCGCTGCATGGGCTGCTCGTTTGTTTTCCTTAGCTTGAGCTGCTTCCTCTGCCTCCTAAATATTTTGAATTCCCATGTGATTCAAGATATTTTCAATTGCTTCCTTGCTAAAGCATACCCTAAGGGCTTCCTCTTCAGCAGCTTCTTCTTCTTCCGCCTTCTTTTGCAGTTCATCATATGACATAGCGACAATAGCTAAAATCAAGTTGACGAGGTAGAATGATCCCAGGAATATAATTACTATGAAGAACAACATGTGCCACGGACCAGCCGAGCGCAGTACCTATAGTTTAAAAATATATATATATATAAATTTAGAAAATGTATTTTTTTGCAATATATACCAATTGATAAAGATTTTCCCAATAATCCTGAGTCATTAGTCTAAATGCCGAAAGAAAGGCCCAGCCAAAACTATCAAAACTAGTGTAACCATAGTTTGGATTGTCACCAAACCCTTGAAGGCATGTATATCCAGGTTTACATTGTCTAAAAATAAAATAACATTATTAAATAGCATTTTCTATTTTTCTTAAATTGTCTAAAAGCTCACCCAGCACCGGAGGAGTTCCCACATAGTGGAATCTGCCCATCCGGCAGTACTTGCCAGTTTGCTGGAAAACACAATTTTAGTAATTATCTCAAATATATTACATAATTTTAAAAAAATTAAAAAGAAACTTACACTCATTACTACAGTGATTAAACCAGTTTTCGTGTGTTAGATTACCAGCTGAACCATCCTCCGGGAAGTTTTTGATACATTTTTGTGTGAGCACTCCCATGTAAATCTGCAGACCCATAAGCGCAAATACAGACAGTGAGAACATGGTTAAGATGATTACATCTCGCAGATTTTTCACTGACTCTATCACAGCACCAACGATTGTTTTCAATCCTAAACAAGACATACATATTAACAATATTGAATATTAAAAAAAAAAAAAATAATTACCAGGCACAATGGCGACAGTTTTTAGGGCTCTTAATACCCTAAATGTTCTTAAGGCGGCTAGGTTTCCAAGATCTATACCCATTGTAACATAGCTATAAAATAAAATAAAGAATTAAGTATTGAATAATTAGAACTGATTGTACTTTTTCAATAAAAATGAACAAATTCGATCAATAATACTATTAGTTTCTGTGAGTTAAATTTCTTAATCGAAACCCATTTTCACGTCAACTTATAATGTTGAAGTCTATTACATGTGTATATATACATATACAAAGGGCATTTCAAAACATTCACAACATTAAACTGACTATCTAACTGAGAATGAAACAACGTTCAACAATTTTTTTCTAGGAGACACTACAAAGGTTTTTAAAAATGTGTTTATATAATATGTAATATAATCAGATTCCTAATACACTATTTGAATAGATTCATCAGGCTATCTCTAAGACTAAGCTACTGTTTATTTTTAGTTTATTTACTGAAACGTCATTTAGAATAGTTAACTTTGTAATAAATATAGGTAATGTAAATCTTCCAAATGTCTATGTTAGTATATAGTATAATTTACATAATTTCTACTATCTAGCTTTCATGATATTCTAATGCTAATACAACTACCTCTCACAACAAAACTAATGACACATTAAGACATTTATTTGTTCTTTTTTACAAGAAACTTACATCAAATATATCTTCATATCTTGTCACTCTATCAACAAATATTCAAATAGTAGTACTTGAGGAAATAAAGCTTAATTCAAGTGGTAAAATTAGTAAGACAATGTTGGTAAAGCTACAATTAACAAATAAAATATACATACATAAGTTACGTTTAAAAACGTACGGAATATTTCTAAGACAGAATAAGTTTTTTTTTATGTTTGCACTCGAAATATTTCCAAATTCCAAATTAAGTTGACCATCTGGAGTAAAATATAAAGCTAAGTTAGTTATAGATACTCTTATAAGTATTTAATGCTTTAATAAAAATTATGTCAATTTTAATTTAAAAAAATAAATAAAAAAATGACGAGGTATACAAAGTGATAAACATGTAACTCGATAATCTCCAATCATCTTGATCTGCCAATTTAGTCAGACTTGTTTTGACATTTCCGCCTTTTTTAATTAGTTTTAGTACAGAATGGAGCTTATCACTTCTCGCAGTTGACTGGAAATTCCAGCTGTGATTACCAACAAATTACCAGCATTCTGAATCACCCACTCCGGGTGTTGGCGGTCCAGGATCAGACCTCTTATCCATGAAACTATAGGTTAGGCTCCAGGGGCTACACCATCTAGGTCAAATCAGCCCCCATTTTAATCAGTCTCCCATTGACACTCTCACTCTCTCTTAAATACATTATGCACTATTTACGTACAATTTACTCAGGGTGGTGGAGTACTTGATATTCCTCCATCACCCTATACACCTATTATATAATTAACCTAATTGAGGATCAATTAGGCACTTAATGATCTGCCATCAACCCTCTCACACTAAACATTCATGCTAATAAATACATTCACTCTCAATGTGGTAGGGTCACAAAACTCAGTATATGCAATAAACCAACCCTGTTTCTTTCAAGAATTTGAACAGGGACCCAGAGACCTCCTGCCTATATCTATATTCTTCCACATTTTCAGATGGGACATATGAGCTACGTTTCTCTAGATGCCAGACTCATACATGGGGTGTGGCTCAAAAGTAAGTGACAATGTGCCAACCTAACCTTGCCTGGCTTATCCTTAATCGGGTTAGGATGACTCTTCTCCTATGACACCTATTGAATGTGCTCCTGTTACTTGAAAGCCCACTGATGCTGCCACTTTTTCTACTCATGTTTTTAAAATGTACTTTCTGATTTATTTTAATATTTAATATTTAAATAATAGTCAACGTTTAAATGGACAGAACAATCAAAAAGATGGCAAAATGCCTAAATATGACAAAGGCACAATGGATGATTTGAGATGATGAAGCTACATAAAATTCTTCAATAAAAGCAGAAATTGTTCAATAAAACAAAAATTAAGCTTCAGATATTAATAAATATAAAAAAATGTAGAAAATTTCTAAGATTATTGTCCATAAAGTGTAATAAAAAAATTATTAATAAAAATGTATGATTAAATTTCATTTTTACCTTCTAGATGCTTCTAAGTACATTTTAATTTCGAAAAATAGAATATTTATGAATTTGAACTTGCATCATTGTTTAAAATTGCGTTAACAAACTGTTATTACGCAACTAATTGAATTTTCTAACAATCACGATAGAACCAAATTTCATAAAAATTTTTCAGACCTTCTGAATTATCTGCATTCTTATTTTCTGTTGGAGTCTCTTCTTATTATTTGAGTGATTTTTTTCAAGTATTAAAAACGCAGTTGATTTTGTCATTATGTTACAAATTATGTTATATTAAACAAAAACTGTTACTCCAGAGTTTTAAAGTAAATTTCCCGTCAAATTTATTACATCAATGAATACATTTAGTTTGACGTATTGATTGAGAATGTTTCAAACTTTAATCTTTTGTTTCACTCCTACGTTTTTAAATATAGTAAAACTATTGCATAATAAAATAATATTGAACCAAAAGCTTCAAAAAGTACAAGTAAACTTATGTTACAAGCATTACCTATTTTACAAAACTAAAAATATTTAAATACCCTTTTTAACAATGATTGTAGTTAAAAAATTTAATCAGACATGTACAACTGAATAAGGAATTTGAATGTTGGCATTGATTAATGTTCTGTTAATTAAATATTTTTTTAAATATTTAAGCTAAGAATTTTTATATTTAAATAGTCATGAATGAGTTTAAGCAAATTTATGTAAAATAATTGAGCTATTAAACTTTTTATTCCCTCAAGATTAAAAAAAGAAGTATTTCTCTTTGTAGTAATATTCTTCTTTTATTTAATGGCTTGAATAGTCTCCATTGTATGAATATTTTTGATTATCAACCAATTTTTTTGCCAGCAGCTTGTTTCACTTAGATACAATTAGATTGAAAATAAATAAAAATGATTGTTTAATTGTTTTATTTTATGTTTCTATTCTAATCTAGGGGTGAACTACACTACTCACGCCAATGCTATTACTACGAAGTCCAGCCAATTCCATGCGTCTCTAAGGTATGTGAATGGCTGTAGAATGAAGCCACGAGCCATCACCTTGACTGCCGATTCGAAAGTGTAGATTCCGGTAAAGATCACTCTAAAATTGATCGATTCAAATGAGTTTCGGTACTATTTCATATTATCGATGAGAAAGTAGAGAAGGTCATACTCAGTAGATTCCACTGTAGGGGTTGTAGGCATTATCATTAGAACACAGTTTAGGAGAATAGTAAATATGATGAAAAGGGAGAAAAGAGGATGTACTAGGATATAGATTGCAACACGCCGAATTGGGTTAAAGGGGTCGAGGATCCAGAGAGCATCTGTCGCAGAGAATCGAAAAATATCTTTTCCTTTACTGACAACAACAAACGTCTGTGAATAAATAAAAATTAAATTAAATTAAAAAAAAATTAATAAAAAAAACCATATCAAAACTTACCCTCTTATTGTGGTAGAAGGTGTCAATATCCTCGAGAGGTATGGATGAGAGCTCTTCAGGAAAACCACCCTGTAGCCTGACAGGCAGAGGAACACCTTGTTCCAACGTCGTGTCAGGCTGTGGACCTTCATCTTCGTCCTCGTCCTCATACCGAATCTGCATTTTTAAATAAATTGTATAGATTTATTAAAAAACTACAATTCAATTTGTAACAAACTGAACATTGTAAATTATAAAATCAAATTACCTCAAGCTTCATAGTAAAAGCAATAGGAAAAATTAAACTCACTGTGCTGAACATTGTACCGATAACTGTGAAGATATTTTGTGTAATTGATAAGCAAATTTAAAAATTTAGTGAAAATTAATTTGCTTTTGTGTATAGTAGATTAGTCTCGTTTGCTGGATTAAAAGTGTTAACAAATAAGTTGCAACTTTGTGAACTTAGATTATAATTTTCCAAGAGAAAATTGACAAGTGAAACTTTAAGTAATTTAAAGCAGTTGTCAAATGGTCAATATTATAGCCACAAGTTCATTTCTTACTTAAAAAAGTATAGCTTCTATAATTACCAAGTGTAAAAACAAAAATTCTTAAAATGGCAATCTATCTTAGAAAATACTAAAAAAATATAAAAAGTTTATTTTTAAAATAGGATTATTTTCACATTAAATAGAGTCATAAAGGATCATAATAATTGACCTATCGAATGGCTCTCTTTCCTTTATATTGAGAGACATTTAAGTTATAAAAAAGAAGAAAGAGGAATTTATAAATCGACTTCTTTATCTAAATCTAAAAATATTATTTTGCTTATTTACCGATTTGAAAACTATTATTGATAATTAAGTATTTATTTTGCGGTCATATAATTTAAATTTGTTAGTAAACATTTCTTAAGAAATTAAGAACACACAATATAAAAAACAAAATTGTTAATAAGTATAGAATAGAACATAAATTGATTAATCAACTTAATTATTTGCTTCATTTGATTGGATGATTTGGAAAAAATAAAACTGATTTGAAACAAATAATAATTAAAAAACCTTCTGTTTTGATCTGATTATATTTTTCTTCTATTTCTTTCATTAATATAAACTTCCTTTTTATATTAATAAAAGGAAAAATTTGTAATTTTAATCAGTATATCATGTGAAGTTTTTTCTTAAAATTTTTGCTACATATCTAACTATTTAAAAAAATTTATGAAATCTAATACATCCTAATGGCTATTATAATAAACTATCTAGAAAATAACAATAGAATTTGATTAAAAAGATGAATAGAAATTCATCATAACATCACATAAGCGTGAAGCATTCAAAGCCTCTAAAACATGCAAATGAATTATATAGTTATATATGAAATTTTAACTTTATTCTTTTTATAAAACATTACTTTATAAAAAAACAGTATCTTATGAAATAATAAATATTTAACTTATGCTAAAACATTTAAATTAATTGCAAATTATTTTCATTATTAATTAAAAATAAACACATAATATTATGGCCAATCCTTTATGAAAACTATGTGAAAGAAGAAATAAGAACATCAATTATATAAATGAAATAGAAACCCTTTGATTAACATGTTTGTGAAGTGTTCTCACTTAAACCGATGTTTAGCAAAAAGAAAAGCAGTATTTTTTCTTTTTTTATGTAGTGAATGCATTGTGGATATGATATAATAAAATATCGACAATTAAAAAAAGCAATATTTTTTTGTGACTCAACTATTCATGCTTAAGAACAATTTAGGACGAATATTTGGTCTATTTGTGAATCTACATGGAATGTTTTTTTTTTTTAATTTATTTTATAAATAGTAGTTAATATTTTATTTTGTGTTAGTGATTGGCAGGTGTGATAATCCTGTAAATAATCATATTTTGATTTAAGGTAAAGCGAATTTGGATGCAAAACTATGAGAACTGATCATGTGTAAATAACTATTTTTTAGGAATCTAACATTCCAAAAAAGCTTACTTCTTTTTTCTTTTTCTTCCGTCCAAAACCCTGAAAAGTCCAATGTGTAAGATAGAATAAAGATTGATAGAAAGAAGGAGGTAAAGGCAAAAAGCTGGAGTAACATTCATTGTGTACACTGAATCTAAATATTTATGAACTTAATGTATTTCATTCAATGGAGAAAAACAACTATACAGGCAGCCGGAAAACTTACAACGACAGCCAAATTGAACAGTCACACAGACAGACTAATCCAGTATTAAAGTATATCTACAGTTGGAATTAATACACTCGATGATGACAACATAAATACTAATTAAAAGAGTCCAATGCTGTTGCATTTGCATGTATCATTATTACATGTAAAAAAAGTCTTTTTTTTATTTTCTGCAAAAAGAATCTTTTGTTCTAAATTTGTGAAAAATATGTTATTGTGCTACTGTGTATTTGTTTTTGAAATGCATGATGCATTAATGTACATTTTTGTTGAATAAGTCAATTCATTTGCCAAGAAAACATAGCAACACCATTTTTCTTTTTAATTAGATAATTTAACGATTAATATATATTTTCTAAACACACCCACTTTAAATGAAGACAGTAAAGACTACGTAGATGGTTAGAGACAAAGCTACTCAATAATGTACAGAATCTAACAATCACACAATTTTCATACTGATGTTTGATGGCTGAATATGATGCAAAGATGTGATGCTGATCTGAATAAAAAGGTAGCATTAATACAGAGATATGTTAGTTTTGCTAAAAGACCAGAAATGATAAAAATGGACGACGCTTAAAAAAATGAAAAACAAAGTGAGCTAAATCAAAATAAAATAGTAGGGAGGTATTTATGAAGACAAAGAATATATATATAAAAATAATAAATACAGATATTCATTTTTTAAAGGTGAAGTCTACATGAATTTTTCCCTGAAATGAAGGATTTGAAATGAAATGACATTTGTAATAAAAAACAAAATTAAAACAATATAACTTTCTCACCTCTCCCTCAGCTCTTTTCTTCTCCAATTCTTTCTGTTTGGCATACTCCTCTGCTATTCGTACCTCAATGGCTTGAAGTGACTCCCTCGTAAAGGGACGGAAAATGCTGCGTTCTTCCTCAGAGAATGTATCTGAGATGACGACGGACATTGTTAAAAAGGGGGCGAGAGGGGCTAACAGGCTTCTCTCGGTCTGCTAAGCAGGCGCCCCCAGGGCAGCCCAACCATCATGCCCGCCCTAAAATACATAATAATTTCATTGGCAAACTGAATGGACAAAATAATAAGCAAACATAAAAAAAATAAGTTCACGCTGGCTTATACCAAACTATCCCAAATCTGTTAACCATGTAAAATTATTATTGATCTTTGCTGTAGGTGCTGTGAGATGATGGACCAAGATCTCTGATCATACTTGACTCTTAGTTGGTTTTGTGACAGATTTCGGCATTTTGCCTTCAAGAAGAAAGTAGTAGCAATAAAGTACCACCAGGATTATTGGATTCAAATTGATTTAATTTCATTATTGTGCAATTTTTGGATGAATTAAAGTCACTAATTAATTATATATTTCAATTTGATTCTTGGTAAAGTAAAAATAAAGAAAGGAAAATTGTGCAAATCTATAAATATAATTCCAGGGATGTGATTTACTTCAGACTAAATTTATTTTATACAATTTCAACCTTTGTCTTAAATATTTTCTTTATTGTGCCAATGTTTCAATCTTCATTGAGATCATCTTCAGGGCTCAAAGTGTTTGTTTTCCTGTCCTTGTTTTAGTCGGCCGTTGGATAATCAATTGCTAATTTTAAACTTATGTTGAGGTGAGCGGCCACAGAAGAAAAGTCCAAATGCTTCGTTCAAAACATTTATTGACAACGTTCGGACGTCTCACGTCCTTCATCAGGTACATAATCATTGTTTTTTGTGTCAGTAACACCCTTTCCGGCATCCCAGACCAACAGCAATTTGAAAAAATGTGTTACTGACACAAAAAACAATGATTATGTACCTGATGAAGGACGTGAGATGTCCGAAATGTTATCAATAAATGTTTTGAACGAAGCATTTGGACTTTTCTTCTGGGGCCGCTCACCTCAACATAAGTTTAAAATTAGCAATTGTTTGTTTTCTGTGTAGATAAAGAAAATGTTTTTCTAAACACCACACACTTTGTGTTAAAATTAGCAGAGGCTTTGTGTTGGAGTTGTACCACATTGGGCCCTTTCTCCCTTTTGATTGCTCAGATCTGCCTAAGATGGTTGGATTGAATGATTACTCCTTGCTAATTTATAAACTTTTCTTATTTACCAGCTCATCTTTTCAAATAATGGGATTATTTTTAAATTATTGTCATAACATAAAGTTAAAAAACAAAAATAAATAAATAAATCGTATTACATTACACAGAGAAGCACAGACATACATATCGATGTCTAGAATTTGAAAAATAGTGCACTAAATTTCATTTAAGATGATGACAGTTCAATAATTGTCGAATTTAAACAATTAAATGTTATTTAATGTTCTATAAATTCTCAATTAGTTAATATTGTATATTATTTAAGTTAATTATACCTTTTATCTAAGTTTTCGTAGAGAAGAAAAAGTTAGTGTCAAGAGCGGGATTCAAACCCATGACCTTCGGCTATATAATTGTATACTTTTTTATTAGTATTGAGCAAAATATTGACAAATGCAGTTAAATTTTATGCTTGGTTGATGTATTTCATGCTAGTTTGGTATTAAGAGTAAGTCCTCAGTTCAATGGGATTGTAGTTCAGGACAGAGGTGAAAAACTTCATCATAGGGTCATTGCAGAAATGGCAGAACTATTAAATATGGGATATGCTAGGAGTGGAATAATAGACTGTGAACTGGGCACTACAGACACTGGAGACTCCCGTCAGCAGAGCCTGCCAGTAACGCCAGGAAAAAGAAGAAAAAGCAGAACACGTCCTTTGGTGTGAAAGTGTTCGCAGGCTTTCATACTCCTGGGAGAGGAAAAGCCTGAAGGATTCTCACAGGAGTCCTTGAAATCAAAAAAAGCTCAAAACTGACTGCAGTATGTCATAAAGTGACTCCTTTTAACATTTTAATTTTTATGTATTTACATTTTCTAGTTTTCTGATTCATTCAATTAGCCAAGGAGGCAGCATGTGCCACAATGCTTTTCTTTTTCTTTGTTCAGCCATCAAAAATATATGTTGAATTTAATTAAAAAGCAGAATTGTGAAAAGGGTACCACATTTTCTCTCCTTCAGTTGGAACTGGACAGCGAGTCACAAAATGACATCTTCAGCAGTCAGGTCTGAATGAAAGCCTACATCCATCGCTTTTACATAATAGATCATTATATCAGTGTTCATATACTAAACTGTTGAGTACATAATTCTCCACTGTATTTGATCAAATAAGGTTTTTTCGCCATTTTTCTCCACTGCAACTTATATAGGTTTATTATGGCACATCTAGATTATAAGGATCCTGTGATTTCTTTTCTTGTTCTCACAAAACTAAGGACTTTCCTGGGTGCTTCTTAAGTACCACTCATGATGTGAGAATCACCTTACCAAAATGAATATATCCGTACTAGTGCCTCACATTCACAAAGGATATATACTAACGTCACCGGTTTCTCTTGACTGAGTGTAATTTTCGTCAAATTTTTCCTGTTGAGAGAGAGAAATTCTTCCTTCCTTTTTGAGAGCTTCTTCTTTTAGCTTGCCTCATACCTGGTTTTGTCCAGTGCTTTTCTCAAGACATTTTGTATGCCTAGTGGTGGTTCTGGTCCCTTGACAGAGAGGGCTACTTTTTTATTTTCGTGTACAAGAACCTTAAGGTATCCTGGTTTGGTCGTCTTAGGCAATTAGGTAATTTAGGCAGTTCCAGACTTGTTTGGAGATAAAAACAGCATTTCATAATTTTATGCCTGACTGTCAAAAAGGTTTTTTACCTTTCATTTTCTTCTTTATCAATTCCTGTCCACAGATTGCATGAAACTCAGCTTGAAAGTCGGAATAAATTCAAAGTGTTTTGCTAAAATGTAATTCAGTCCTTTACCCTTAAACGTATTCCCGTAGATCTCTGTGAGGGCTTTGTTGGTCAGAAGAGTTCTTCAGAGATAACTGTGGCCTCTTAGGCAATCAAAGGTTCTCATGAAAAACCGATCAAGGCATTGACTTCATTTGTTTCTACAATTGACTATATGTATATAATTTATAAATATGTTTGTACATTTACTTATACAAATGCATACTTTTCTTGTTCTTGTTACTGAAAATCAATACATCTGATATGGAGCATGTTAAAAATTAAGTCCCTTTCAGCTGGGATTTCGAGGAAAAAACACATTCACAAGTAAAATTAGATTTCCTTTGGGTTGATTTTGTGCAAGTATTTTTAATTATTTAAATTATTTTGGGTTTCCTTGTAGGAATGATTTCTTTCTTACACAGTCATTTATAAATCTGATGGCAAAAGGCAACAATTTTAGTTAAAGGAACTTATATTTTTCCTTATTTCCTTGCTATCAACGGTTCAAAGAAAAGAGAAAACCGGACTCCATTTGCTGTATGAGAAGATACTTCAAAAGATGTTAATTAAATGATCCCCTTTGCGTCAACATTTCAAATCGCTTTTACCTCTCGCAAATCAATTGAACTTACTCTTTTCGAGAGGTCCAAAAATAGACGATTTTAAAAAAATGTTCTCTAGTCTGGTTAGGATTATATTAATCGGACGAATGATAAGTCGCAAACGGATTGATCAGTTGGATCAAGTGGGGGCGACCATGTGAAGCAGGAAAGAATAAATCGATTCTGGCGACTCTCGGCCACGAAATTATAAAGTTTGAGACTCGGTTTTACTACAAGTGTTAAAAAAAAGTTCCAGGACAATTTTTATTTCTGACGAGTATGCATGAATTAGCCTGTTAATTACTATGTTAGACTGTCCTTACATTAACTAATCAACAGGTTAATTACACCGGCTAGAGTCAGAAGATTTAAAGGAATGAATCTTGATAAAAATTCATTTATTTGTAAAAAGCTTAGGATGAAAATAGGTCAAGAATATATAGTTAAAATGTCCGATGGCATGAGCACTTATATATTTTCCATTATGATAACAATCACATTATCATATAAATCTGTTGTAAAATAAATAAAGTTTTTTTAATTTAAAAAACAAATTATTTTTACGATCAAAGTTCTTACTTATGTACGGCCGTCTCCGACCTAGCCGTTAGCTATCGTCATCTTCTCGACTCCGTCCTGTAACAAACAAAAAATCTATAATTTATTTAGAATAATAATAAAATTTAATAGTTTATTAAATTAGCCGTTAAAATTTTTGAGTTTTATTTAATTCCTGAATTAATTATTCAGAAAACGTGAGATGCGGTCTGGTGTGATGTAGGTTTCAGAAAAACATTTTCTTTATCGTGCCAACGTTTCGATCTTTATTGAGATCATCTTCAGAGCCTGGGATTTACAAGCATTGTTACATTTAACAAATACATTTAGGATGTGGAAAAAAGTGAATTTATACATTGCAAAATATATTTTTTTATATTCAATCAAAGTATTTCTCACTCAAACTGTTTGTCTTCTGTGTAATTGTGCCATTCTTCTCTCAACCCGATGCAAGAATGGCGCAATTACACAGAAGACAAACACTTTGAGTAGAAATACTTTGATTGAATATACAAAAATATATTTTGCATTTTATAAATTTACTTTTTTCCACATCCTAAATGTATTTGTTAAATGTAAACAATGTTTGTAAATCCCAGGCCCTGAAGATGATCTCAATAAAGATCGAAACGTTGGCACGACAAAGAACATGTTTTTCTGAAACTTACATTACACCAGACCGCATCTCACGATTTCTGAATAATTATCGATTAACGGTCACTAATCACCGCACATTATTTCTTGAAGGTTTGTAGCACTGCGTAGACTGAAAAATATATTGTTTTTATTGGGTCGTTATTACCACGAAAGCTCTCTAAAGTGCGAACACACTTAATTTCAGAAAACTGTTGTGTTGTTGTCATTTTCATAGAAGTCGTCGACAAAAAAATGGATGTTCAGTGCACAGTAATTTTTTTTACGAACTTTTCAAAACAAGAAAAACACTGATATCACAAAGAAATAATTAAAAATGGCAAGTAATTGAAAAAAATCAAAATCAATATCATGTGGTTGAAGGGGGGATGAACCTGAAATTTAATCAGAACTGAACTTCTTGTTCTGTCAGACTTTATAACAAAAGTCAGTCAAAATACTGTACTAGATAGTTATGAATTTTTGATTTCTTTGTACTAAAGTGTTAAGACAACTGAATAGTACAGCACAAAATAATTTTTATTCCAACTAGTTTTGTCAGGGTTTGATGTGTAAATTATGTATAAAGAAAAATTGTAAGTGGCACGTTGATACATTGTTAATATAAAATTTTTCTTTCCACTACAAACTTTTTTTTCCAAATGTGTTTATTTAAAATGTGAAATCTAAGTTGAAAAATAAAAACAACACTCGTAACAACAAAAATTTAATAAGATTAAATCGGTGGTGTAAAAATCATCTCATATTTATGCAAACAAACAAAAAAAATCCAGAAGCCAGGATGGAAACCGCTTGGAGGCAAAAGTGTATAAATAATACATACGCTTGAGTGCAATGAAAATAAATATCACGTTTTCTCCGCGTCATACGGAAAAGCCAAACTGTAATCTAGTAAAAAGGTCGGCTCTAGTTACAGAGTGGTAGCGGGTCAAGCAAAATCGTAAAGAAACAGGTTTTGCAGTGACCTAGATAAGATAGCACGATTAATGATTGATTTTTCTTTAAGGGTTTTGTTGCTTTATCCAATTTCGTGAAGAAGCAGTCAATTTGCCTAAGTATTTACTTACCCTTTTACTTAAAAGATCACACCCAATGGTTGTAATAAAACTACCAGTTTTAATTGACTGACATCAATTAAAATTCGTTGGGCTGAGGTGAGATTCGAACCGAGAACCGCGAACATGGCAATGACTCGGACGCCCTAACCACTCCCTGGTTTTATCAGTTTAATTAAATCCTCAAGTGATTTCTTTCTTGTTCCTAACTGGAAATAAATATCGGGCCTGTAATGAGCCGGTCTACTTAGACTTAATATCACATTCTTTATGAAAACTTAACAAAATTAATTAAAGTTGAAAAACAATGTCTTATCGCTCTCTAAATTAAACAGAAAATAGAGAAAACCAAGTTTAATAAAAGTTTTCTTATCCTTAAAGAAACTTTAGATCGATATTTGACTAAATGACTCAACTACAAATATATTTATTTTTAATCATATAAAAGTATAACAAACGTCAAACAAAAATAAGTAAACTGGAAAGATTTTTGGGCAATGGAAAATTTAAAATGAAAACGAAAATATAAGAAATTACCGAAACAATTTTTAGAAAGTCTGTGTTCGTATTTATCTTTAACATTAAATTTTCTTCTGTTCTACTCTAATTTTTTTGATTACTTCTAATATAAACAATTAACTTATTAGCTGTATTTTATGGATTAAATGATGTAACGTTACTTGCAGACCTACCCGAAGGGGTCAAGACCAACAGTTCTGCAACACTCCCAGGTCTTGCAGGTTTAGTATAAGGGGCGCCCCGATTAAGATTCATTTGCAAATATTTTGTTCCCAGGAGCAGACATAACAAAAAAACAATTCATAAAAAAACATGTCCAAACCAAAATATTTCTTTCATTTTAATTTTATAAATATTATAACCATCCTTAAAAAACACATATCACATATTAAGAGATTAATATCCGAGTAAATGTCTTAACACCAGATAATTTATTGTTAATCCCGTAAAAGAACAACAAACGTCAAACAAAAATAAATAAACTGGAAAGATTTTGCCAACAGAAGAATTAAAGTAAAAACGAAAATATAAGAAATTACCGAAACAATTTTCAGAAATTCGCTTTTATTCTGATTTCTCATTTATCCTTAACTTTAAATTTTCTTTCGTTCTATTTTAATTTTTTTGATTTTCCAATATAAACAATTAATTTATTAGCTGTATTTTATGGATTAAATGATGTAACGTTACTTGCAGACCTGCCCGAAGGGGTCAAGACCAACAGTTCTGCAACACTCCCAGGTCTTGCAGGTTTAGTATAAGGGGTGCCCCGTTTAAGATTCATTTGCAAATATTTTGTTCTCAGGGGCTGACATAACAAAAAAACAATTCATAAAAAAACACGTCCAAACCAAAATATTTTTTTAATTTTAATTTTATAAATATTATAACCATCCTTAAAAAACACATATCACATATTATGAGATTAATATCTGAGTAAATGTCTTAACACCAGATAATTTATTGTTAATCCCGTAAAAGAACAACAAACCTCAAACAAAAATAAATAATTTAATTATTTAATAATTTTTTTAAATTTAATAATTTAATTTTATAAATATGATAACCATCTTTAAAAAAACACATATCACATATTATGAGATTGATATTTGAGTAGATGTCTCAACAGTAAATAAATTCATTTTTAATGCCATAAAAGAACAATAAACGTCGACCAAAATAAGTAAACTGAAAAAATTTTTTAGTCAATGGATGAATTAAAATGAAAATGAAATGTAAAAAATTACCGAAACAATTTTGAGAAAGTCAGTTTTATTTGGTTTCGTATTTATCCTTGACATTAAATTTTCTTCTGTTCTACTCTAATTTCTTTGATTACTTTTAATAAAAACAGTTAATTTATTAGCTAAATTATGATGGGTGAAATGAGGTAACTTAGCTTGCAGGCCTTTCCGAAGGGGGGCGAGACCAACAGTTCTGCAACACTCACAGGTCTTGCAGGTTTAGTATACTGGGTGCCCTATTTGAGATCCATTCCCAAATATTTTTTCACAGAAGCATACATAAAAAAATACTTAAAAACATGCAAAAAATACGTCCCTTTTTATTTTAATTTTATACGTTAATCATGTGCCATAAAAATGGTAAAATAAGCATTTTTTTAAATTATATAAACACTATTAATGGTGGGTAGCAAAGGTTTTGGCGTTAATACGGCGCTCATCATTGGAAAAAAAATAAAACAAAATTGTAAATACATAACCAAACCAGTGATAAGATTGATTTATGTTCAAACCCGGACGAAAAATGTGAATCATAGCCAATTTCACTTCATTAAGTTCACAATCTCCGCATTTTTATTATGTTCAGCCAGGTATACAAAAATCTTTATCGATAAATTAGTTTTGTTTCACGCCTTGAGATACAAAATTATTTAATCAACTAACAACCCATATATACACCTATTAAAAAAATATATGAGAGAGATGAGGGAGAGGGAAAGAAGAGAGAGAGAAGAGAACGCGAGAGAGAGAGAGGAGGGAGGGAGAAAGAGAGAGAGGAGGGAGGGAGAAAGAGAGAGAAAATGAGTGGGTGAAGAGTGAGAAAGATAAAACTAACATATGTCATAGAATGTAGATGAGTAATGAATAAATAGATAGATAGATAGAGATAGAAATAGATAAATAGGTTGGTAGATAGATAGAGAGGGAGAGAGAGAAAAAGAGAGAGAGAGAGAGAGAGAGAGAGAGAGAAAGAGAGAGAGAGTAAAAAATTATACATCTTGAAATATTACTTATTCTTATGTTTGTGATTTCTCTCTTTCTCTCTTCATCTATCTATCAGGATGTCTAACAAATCAATATCCCAATGCATTCGGTAAGCTTCAAATTTTTGTTCAGTTATAAACAAAGCGAAAAATTGACAAAGATAAGAAAAGAAAAAAGAAAGCCAAATTTCTACGTTGATGTATCGCAGTTAAATACCTAGCTTTATAAATAATAAATATAATTTATTAAAAAGATCACATACCTGATACACCCCATTATAATTTTTTATAGACTAGAAATGTTTTGAAGGGTTTGGTATTTTGAAATATTAAGTTGTTAGACAATTTAAATGTGTCGTTCATTTTTTATTTATTTTTATTTTTATTTTTTTTTGCTTTGGTCTTTTTTGACCAATTTCGTCTACCTGTTGTTACTTTATTGATTTAAGAAGCTCGTTTCGGCCATCGCATGTAGACCTCAAAGTTAGCATCCTTTTTATGAGACCTGAGCACATGTTTTCTCAAATAAAACACCCACGTTATATTTTTATTAACCAAATTGTTGTGAATTTGGAAAGCAAAAAAAAAGATTCTATATAAATTGTCAAATTGTCTTACATTAG